AAGCAGGCCACAATGAAGTCATATATATTATATGTACGAAAACAAAAATAGGTGCACTTCAATGCTCAAGACAGAGAGATATGCACGTGGATGCATGTGGGGGAGGAGGTGAAAACGTGCGCTCTCTTTCGCAAGGCAGCAGAAATGCAAATGGTGCAGTTCGAGTCGACTCAACAAGACACACGACAGAGAGGAGGAGAGTCGATTTTTTAGTCGACTCAAAAATCGACTCATCACACACGCACCCTCTTTTGCAAGGCAGCAGCAGTGCAAATGGTGCAGTTCGAGTCAACTCAAGACACATGACAGAGAGGAGGAGAGGGGGCAGAGAGGAAGGGAGGAGGCAGAGAGGAAGGGAAAAGGCAGAGAGGAAGGGAGGAGGCAGAGCGGAAGGGAGGGGGCAAAGAGGTGGAGAGCAGTGTACATGAATGCGTGAGAGCGAGGAGGGGAGCGCGTGCACTCTCCTCTGCATCGCAGCAATGCGAGTGGTGCAGTTTAAGTGAACTCGACTCAATACCCAAAGAAGAGAGGAAGAGAGGAAGAGAGGAGGCATAGAGATAGAAAGACACACATGTGAATGCGTGAGAGCGAGGAGGTGAGCGCTTGAACTCTCCTCTGTATGGCCGCAATGCAAGTGGTGCAGTTTAAGTGAACTCGAGTCAATACCCAAGGAAGAGAGGAAGAGAGAAGGCATAGAGGTAGAAAGACACACACGTGGATGCGTGAGAGCGAGGAGGTGAGCGCGTGCACTCTCCTCTGCATTGCCGCAATGCGCGTGGTGCATGGCGGCATCACAGGCATGGGCAGCCCCTCCAGTATACCATCCAGCTCTGATTGGGGGGTTGGGGAAGGGCAGAGTGGGATACAGGAGGGGCAGGGGTGGGAATGGCAATGCGAGTGGTGCATGGTGGCATGACTGGCATGGGCAGACCCTCCAGTATACCGTCCAGCTCTAGAGGGTGTGAAGGGCGGATGGGAGGGAAGACAGAGGCTGGAGAGGACTGAGGGAAAGGGTTGGGGCAATGCAAGTGGTGCATGGCGGCACGACCGGCATGGGCAGCCCCTCCGGTATGCCGTCCAGATCTGATGGGGGATATAGAGAAAACAGGGAAAATAAATGGGAGGATGGAGTTTAGTGGAAGAGTGGCAATGCGCGTGGTGCAGGGCGGCATCACTGGCATGGGCAGCCCCTCCAGTATACCGTCCATCTCTAAGAAGAATGCAGAGGAGAATGGGATGCAGGAGAGGCAGGAAAGGCAAGGTGAAGAGGGCAGGCAAGGGAGGCAAACGGGGCGGATATTGTGTAAAGGAATGTAGGCAAGGGGAGTGGCAAGGTGAGTAGTGCATGGCGATATGACTGGCATGGGCAGCCCCTCCAATATGCCGTCCAGCTCTGAAATGGAGGGCAGGCGGGGGACAAAGCGGAGGGGCAGGGAGGGAAGTTAGTGCTGAAAATATGGAACTGAAGGGAGGAGCGGTGCCAAGGCAATGCGAGTGGTGCATGGTGGTATCACAGGCATGGGCAGCCCCTCCAGTATGCCGTCCAGCTCTGATGGGGGTGGGCGTATTAAGTTGTAACGAGGGCACAGAGGCCATAGAAAGGTAAAGAGGGAAAGTAAGCACCTGCACCAGTACCCACCTGCACCAGTACCCACCTGCACCAGTACCCACCTGCACTAGTACCCACAAGACTTTTTGTGTGCCCACACCCACGTACCACCCACCCAACCCATACATACACACCCATCTACGTATACCGACTCCCACACACCCACACATCCACACACCCACACATACCCAAATCCGCCCTCACACACCCACCAGCTGCCAGTCTCCCAAAGGCCGCGTCGAGCCTCTCCTGGCTGTGGAAATGGCTGCATCAGTGACCAGCACCCACCAAGAAACTTCGTCTGTCTCCCAGTCATCAATACATATCCACCCACCAGCTCCCAAGGGCCGCGTCCAGACCTCTCCTGGCTGGGAATGGTGGCATTAGTGTCCATACACCAAAACACCCATACATATGCACGCACCCATCCACACCCATCCACACCCATCAACACCCATACACACCCGTACACCCACCCACACACACCCACTGGCTGCCAGTTTCCCAAGGGCCGCGTCCAGCCTCTCCTGGCCGTGGGAATGCTTGCACTAGTGACCAGCACCCACCAAAAACTTCTGTCTCCCAGTCATCAATACAAATCAACCCACCCACCAGCTGCCAGTCTCCCAACGGCCGCGTCTAGCCTCTCCTGGCTGTGGGAAGGTTGCATTAGAGACCGTACACCATACACTCACATACCAGCACATACCAACACACCAACACCCCCCACCCCCTCTCCACCCCCCCACCCACCCCCACGCACCCACCCACCAGCCGCCAGTCTCCCAAGAGCCGCATCGAGCCTCTCCTGGCTGTGCAGGGCGGCGACCACGTGGCCTCCACACGCCTGCACTGCTGCCCCCACACCTGCTGCCACGTGGCCTCCACATGGCTGCTCCGTCATCCCCACATCATCTGCTGTCATCTCGGATGCCCGCTCATCCCCCTGCTGTTCCGTCAGTTGCCGCTGCTGCTCCTGTTGCTCTTTATTCTCCCTTTGCTCCTGTTGCTGCTGATGATGGTGCTCCTGAGTCTGCTGTTGTTGTCGCTGCTGGTCGCTATGAGAGGAAATTTCTTCGTCTCCCACTTTACCCTCGTCCCCCATCGGCCTCCGTTCCTCCTCTCCCTCCTCACCTTCATTCCCCCCTCCCTGGTTCCCACTACACCCAACCTCCCCGTCCCCCCTTCCCTCCTCCCCTCTACCCACCCCTGCTTCCCCTCGTCTACCCTCATCCCCACTAAACGGTCCCAGTGAAGTCAAACCTCCTGAACCCCCCATCATTGTGACCAATTCTAGCTAGCTCTAAAACGATGACATCAACGTATTTACAGCTTTTGCCAACGTCATTGATGCTCCGAACGATCCAGCTCAGAGGAGAGATAATAAAATACGCTCAAATTAACGCACTACGCTCATAACGAAATGCTTATAGCGAGGGAAGAGACGGTGAAACCTACAAAACTAAGCAACGACGACAGCACGTTCACGAAGCAGTGAAAAACGCGATATAGGCACAACGAAAATGGGCATGATCCGACGCGACTCAGGCCACGAAGAAGCCACTTAAAACGAATTAGAAGAGTAAAGACGGGGTGTCCTATAACGGGGGTGGGCGAGGGAGCGCTAGCGGCGATAAACTTGGCAATGATATCCGCCAATCCTCTCCAACGGTAATATCCCGATTCGCGTCGCGAGAGGTGGAAATTGGCGCGGAACTTCGAGCCTCCCGTACGGTGCAGTGAGATAATTCGTGGTGAAGTGGGTACTGGGAGGTCAGGATATATTTTTTGTGAAAGGCGTATTCGGCCGAAGGAAACTCAACTCGCAAACCCTGCTGAAGTGTCACGCATAACGTTTCGCAACGAGTGTTTCGCATTAATATCGACACGTGATTCAGAGTTCCCGCTTCGAGTTCGTTCAGCAACGAGCTGTGTAACCGTAAAACTTTGAGGATTCTTCTTTGAGACGAAACCAAGCGAATCATTTTACGTCGCGAAGTTTTCGCCCTAACCCCAGTTTCGCGGGATTGGGCGGGGAAGCGGCGAAAATTGGTAACCGAAACTCCCTCAAAACCGACTAGTTGAATGTGTGCGGCAGTTCGAGTTTCTTCTCACTCCAAAATCCCGCCCTCCCAGGTTGTTTGAGCAATTTCACCAATCCTTACCACCACTAGGTGTAGCCCTATGTGGGTCGAAGCTAGCGCAGCTGCTTTATTGCCCTAACGATTTACCAACCAGCTGTTGACCGTCGGCCGTCGGATATCGTCTGTAGCCGGCAAGCCGTTACTTGGCCAGCATCTGAACATGTCGAGCGATCCAGGGGATTTAGATCGGTGGAAAGAGGTGGAAGCCGTGCTGCAGGAGTTTCAGCAGCACGGGCAGCAGGTCGGGCAGGAATCCGGGCAGGAACAGGTTTGGCAGCAACAGGGGCAGGCATTTGGGCAGCAACCGTCTGGGCAGCAACCGTACGGACACCAACCATACGGGCAGCAGTTTGCACAGCAGCAGGGATCGCACCCGCTTCCGCAATCGCCGCTGCCGCCGTCGCAGCTGCTGCAGCAGCCGCAGATACAGCAGCATCAGCAGCAATCGCAGCAAGTGAGAGACGCTATGGGGGAAAGCCGTGGGGGAAGGGGGGCGCCGAGGGGCGGGGGAAGGGGGAGAGGCGGAGGACGCGGGGATCGGGGGAGAGGCGGGGGGAAGGAGGGGCGGGGGGGGCAGGGGGCAGGGGGAATGGGGAAGGGGCGGGGTGCGTGGCGTCATGGGGGGTAGTGGCAGTATCGGTGGTGGTGGTGGTGGCGGGGGAAAACGAAGAGGAGGCGGAGGACTGGGGAGGGGCATGGGAGGGGAAGGAGGCCGGGGACGGGAAGAAGGGAGGGGAGTGGGTAGCGGAGGACTAGCAGCAGCAGCAGCAGCAGTTGAAGCAGCAGAGGCAGCAGCAGCAGCTCTAGCAGGAATTAAAGGGGGAGGAACAAGGGCGGGGGAGACGAGAGGGGGAGAGACGAGAGGGGGAGAGACGAGAGGGGGAGAGACGAGAGGGGGAGAGACGAGAGGGGGAGAGACGAGAGGGGGAGAAGTGAGAGAACCGAGGAGCACAGGGAGTGACTATAGCGAGTTGCTGACAGTGGCACGGCAGCAGCAGCAGGGGGTGCAAGCTGGGGCGGAGGAGGGAGGGGCGGCGGTGGAGGGAGTGTGGGAGCCAGGGGGAGGTGTCAGCTTGACGGGTGCTAAAGAAGGTAAGCCAAGTTAATACGGAAAGAGGTTGTAAGCAGAGGTTGCAAGCAGGGGCGGAGGAGGGAGGAGCGGCGGTCGAGGGAGTGTGGGAGCCTGGGGGAGGTGGCAGCTTGACAGGTGGCAACTCGGCAGGTGCTAAAGAAGGTAAGCCAAGTTAATGGCCAAAAAGGCTGGAGGTGAGAGGGGAGGGTTGGAAAAGGAACGGGCGGCAGTGGAGGGAGTGTGGGAGCCTGGGGGAGGTGGCAACTCGACAGGTGGCAACTCGAGAGGTGCTAAAGAAGGTAAGCAAAGTCGATTGGCAATTAAGGATGGAAGTAGGTGTGTGTGGAGGAGGTTTAGAGAAAGGAGGGATAGCAATGGTGGGAACGAGGAAGACTGGGGGGAGTGGCAACTCGACAGGTGCCAGTTCGACAGGTGGGAACGATGGTAAGCCAAGTTGACAGGCAAATGGGGGAAAAGTGAGAGGGAGGAACGACGGAGGGGCAGCAGTGGGGGGAGCGTGGGAGCCTGGGGGAGGGAGGTGGCAACTCGACAGGTGCGTGCATACCTACCTACGATGGTAAGCCATGATGAGGGTGAGAATTTGAGGGAAGGGCAGCAGTGGAGAGAGTGGGGGGCACTGGGGGAGGTGGCAACTCGACAGGTGCGTGCATACATACCTACAATGATAAGCCATGTTGAGGGTGAGAATTTGAGGGAGGGGCAGCAGTGGAGAGAGTGGGCCAGGAACCTGGGGGAGCTGGCAGGATGTGACGTTGGTACCTCCTTTTCCTGGGGGATGGTGTTACTCAAATTCTCCCTTCCCACCATCCCTTCCCACCATCCCTTCCCACCATCCCTTCCCACCATCCCTTCCCACCATCCCTTCCCACCATCCCTTCCCACCATCCCTTCCCACCATCCCTTCCCACAACCCTTCCCACTTCTCCCTCCTCCCTCACTCTCTATCTCCCTGGAGGTTTTTTTAGTCAACTAAATTTTGCTCTCTATTTTCCGCCACCAGTCCCCCTCTTCTTCCCCTCGGGCTCTCTGCTATTCCTCCACGACCCCCTCTGGGCCTTCACCAAGCCAACTTCCTGCCTATTTCCTCTATTCCCCCCTTTCTCTCCTCCTCTCTCCCCGCTGCCAGTCTCCCCTTTCTTCCCATCAGGCTCGCTGCAATTCCTTCAAGACCCCCTCTGGGCCTTCACCAAGCCTTCTACTCCTCCTATTCCCCCAATTCCTCCCCTTTCCCGCCCCTCTCCCCCTCTACTCTATCAACACCGCCCAACCAGTCTCCCCTTTCTTCCCATCAGGCTCGCTGCAATTCCTTCAAGACCCCCTCTGGGCCTTCACCAAGCCTACTTCCTGCCTACTTCCTCTATTCCCCCCCTTTCTCTCCTCCTCTCTCCCTGCTGCCAGTCTCCCCCTTCTTCCCCTCGGGCTCTCTGCAATTCCTTCAAGACCCCCTCTGGGCCTTCTCTAAGCCTGTTGCTGCTATTCCCTTTACACCCACAACACCACCCCCCCCCTTCCCCCCTCCTCTCCCCCTGCACCCTTTCTCCCCCAACCAGTGTCCCCAGTCTTCCCATCAGGCTCTCTGCAATTCCTTCAAGACCCCCTCTGGGCCTTCACCAAGCCTTCTGCTCCTCCTATTCCCCCAATTCCCCCCTTTCCCGCCCCTCTTCCCCTCTTCTTTATCAACACCGCCCAATCAGTTTCCCCATTCTTCTCCTCGCGCTCACTGCATTCTCCAAGACCCCTGTGGGCCTTCACCAAGCCTTCTACTGCTATTTCGTCTACAACCGCACCCCACCTTCCCCCCCTATCTCCCCGCCACCAGTCTCCCCTTTCTTCCCCTCGGGCTCGCTGCAATTCCTCCAGGACCCCCTCTGGGCCTTCACCCAGCCAACTCTTATTCCCTCAACTTCCCCCCTTCCCCCCCACCTTCGTCTCCTCCACTCTATCTCCCCGCCACCAGTCTCCCCTTTCTTCCCCTCGGGCTCGCTGCAATTCCTCCAGGACCCCCTCTGGGCCTTCACCAAGTCTTCTCCTGCTGCGCCACCCCCCTCAACCGTGAACGAGGTGAGATCAGATCAGAGCAGATTGAACGGTACGGTGTGGAGTGGTGTGGTGCCTTCGCCAACCTGGTTTTGCTACCTATAAATACCCAGAAACCTAACTCACGAAGTCCTTTTACTTGGTGCTCTGCAATGATTCCCTATTACGGTCCTCTCTGCTTCCCGTCTGCTCTCCCCAGAGCACCTACTCCAGTTCGAATCAGGCGCATTGGAGAAACACCAGCAGGCTCTGCCACTGCTTCTAATACCCCACTACCTTTGCTCTTCTTGCCCCACCCCATGTCCCTTTACCTGTTGTCCCCCCCGCCACTCAGCTTTCCCCGGAGCACCTCCTCCAGTTCGAATCAGAGGCATTGGAGAAACACCTGCAGGCAGGCTGTGCCGCTGTTTCCCTCCCGCGCTTCTCATTCTTGTGTGTTTTGGCTCTTTTGTCACTGCCCCTCCCTTCCCCCGCACAGCTCTCCCCAGAGCATCTCCTCCAGTTCGACCCAGACGTATTGGAGAAGCGCCTGCAGGCTGTGCCTCCCATGGTCCTCACTTTTGTGCGTTTGGCTCTTTTCCTGTCCCCCACTCCCCCTCACAGCTCTCCCCAGAGCACCTCCTCCAGTTCGACCCAGAGGAATTGGAGAAGCGCCTGCAGGCTGTGCCGCTGCTGATGCTTAGATACTCTGAACCTCAGCGCCCTTTTACATTCCCTTGTCCCCTTCCCTGTCCCTCCCCCTCTCCCCCCTTCCCCGCACAGCTCTCCCCGGAGCACCTCCTCCAGTTCAACTCAGAGGCATTGGAGAAGCACCTGCAGGCTGTGCCGCTGTATAAGAATGCTGCATAGACATCCCACTTTTTCGCTTTTCCCATTATCCCCCTCCCTTCTCTCCCTTCCCCCTCACAGCTCTCCCCGGAGCAGCTTCTGCAGTTCGACCCAGAGGCATTGGAGAAGCACCTGCAGGCTGTGCCACTGTATAGGAATGCTGCATAGACATCCCACACACTTGGTCTCCTCCCCCTCCTATCTGTTCCCTCACAGCTCTCCCCAGAGCATCTCCTACAATTTGACTCAGAGGCATTGGAGAAGCACCTGCAGGCTGTGCCACTGCTGCTTATTGAGCACCTTCTGATACCCCTTGTCCGTTTCCTGTTGTTCCCTTCCCCCGCACAGCTCACCCTAGAACAGCTTCTCCAGTTTGACTCAGAGGCATTGGAGAAGCACCTGCAGGCTGTGACGCTGCAACGGTTTCCCATGCTTGTCTTTTCTCTCCCCCAACCCATTCCCCTTCCCCTTCTCCAGCACTCCCCAGAGCAGCTTCTCCAGTTTGACTCAGACGCATTGGAGAAGCATCTGCAGGCTGTGCCACTGCCGTCACTGCTGCTGCTTAGGGACTCTGAACCTCAATATTCCATCACATTCGCTTGTGTCCTTCCCTGCCCAACACCCCCTTACAGCTCTCCCCAGAGCAGCTTCTCCAGTTCGACTCAGAGGCATTGGAGAAGCACCTGCAGGCTGTGCCGCTGCCGTCGCTGCTGATGCTGTCCCCGCATGACCGGGCCACCTTCTTTCCGGATGAGGTAACACACACACGCCCCTTGAGTTGTGCTGGTGTGCTCATAATAAGTCAAGTCATCCCTGTTGCTGCTGCTGTGCCCGCATGACCGGGCCACCTTCTTCCCCACGAGGTAACACGCCCCTCAGTCTGTCTGCTTACCCATGTTTGTGTGCTTACCATAAATGCTTACCATGCTTAAGTGCTTACATGCTAGTATGCTCACCATAAGGCACTTACCCACTTTCCCACTGTGACCAAGCCAACTTCTTCCTCCAACAGGTAACACTCCTGTTGGTGCCCAGCTGCCCATCCATGCTCGACTCACCACGCAAGCTCGTCTATCTCCCACCCGTCCCTTGAATCTCTTTTTCAATGGGCACAGCACAGCAGTCCCAACCAAACCCGGAGATCTCCCTAGCGTCCCTTGACTCTTTTCTTCCCTCTCCTCTGCATCCCTTGACTTCCTACCAGCCGGCACAGCAGCACTCCCAATCAGGACAGGATATTTCCTCCTCTCTCTCCCACTGGTGGCTGGATCCTGGGTGCTATGCCACAAATATGAGGGACTAAATGCTATTTGTCTCACCTCTTCCCCTCTGTGCCTTGACGTCCTACCAACAGGTACAGCAGCAGTTTCAATTCAGTCAGGATATCTCCTCTTCTCTCTCCTGTTGGTGGCTAGATCCTGGGTGCTATGCCACGGATGAGAGGGACTGGGTGGCGATTAACTTGTCTAACTCCCCTCCATCCCTTTGACTTCTTGCCAACAGGTGCAGCAGCAGTCCCAACCCAGTCAGGATGTGTCCTCCTCTCTGTCCCGGTGGTGGCTGGACCCTGGATGTTATGCCACGGATGAGAGAGACTGGGTGGCGGTTGAAGCGATTCACAGTGGTGCAGAGGACTTTGCGGTGGTAGGGGAAGGGGAGGGGGAGACCAGGGAGGCTGGGTATGATTTGGGAAGGCAGCACGGGGAGAAGGATTTGCTGCAGCAGCAGCAGCAGCAGCAGCAGCTTCAGCTTAATGTCCTCGCTCCATCTAACACCAGAGCCTGCAGCAGCCTCTACACTCACATCAAGCACACAGAGGGGCGCAGCAAAGCCGCAGCTAGAACAGTCTGGGAAGCAAGCAGGAAGTACGAATGATGTGCATGGGCATGGGCATGTGAAGGAGCATCGGCATGTGAAGGAGCATGCGCTTGCAGGGGAAGGTGATTTGGATGAGTTGCTGGGAGGGGAGACAGGAAGCAGTAGCAGTGCAACCAGAGGAGAGGTTAACATGGCAGAGAAGCAGCACATAGGGCAGCAGGCAAGAGCAGGGGCAGCAGGGGCAACAGTTCCTGTGCATGGGATTGGGCTTGCAGGGGAAAATGATTTGGATAAATTGCTAGGAGGGCAGTCGCAGAGCAGCAGAGAGGCAGCCAAAAGAGGGGTCAAGGCCGGAGATTCTTTTGGTGTGGCCAGTGCAGCAGCTGCTGCTGCTCTAGTGAAGCCTGACCCTAAGCCAGCAGCAGCAACAGCAGCAGCAGCACATGCACCGGCTCTGGATGATTTTGATGAATTGCTTGGAGGGCAGTCACAGAGCAGCAGCAATGCAGCCAAAGGAGGGGTGAATGTCGGATACTCTTTTGGCGTGGCCAGTGCAGGTGCTCCTGCTCAAGCGAAGCCTGAACCTAGGCCAGCAGCAGCACAGGCACCGGCTCTGGATGATTTTGATGAATGGTTCGATTCTGTCACGTAGCCATTACCTATCAGCATTTATGTCATCCAGCGCCGTGCTGAGTGGCCGTGAAATTCGGCTCTAAAGCAACCAAGTAGAAATATAGAATGTATTGTTAGTTTCATTGTGCCAGACAATGGATTTATGCCTTTCGAATGCCACCAACCACGTGCACAGTACAGACTACTTGTAACGGGTTTGGCTCAGCGTTGTGACTCCCGTGCCACCCTCCCCCCCTCCCGCCTCCTCAACGCCCCATGTTGGATGCACGGTATCGCCTCTCACTAATTGGGACTAGTCGGGCACACAGATTGCTAGTCGCACCGCACGATTCATCCTAATCGATCGTCGCAAAGATCGGACGGCTGTAAGCTCTTCGAATGCCATAAGGGAACAGCTTCTAGCCGATGATGCAGCCGATATGAGCGCGCACCAATCAGAACGCGAAGTGCCACGTGTACCGAGCCTGCCACGCTGCATGCTCGCTCGGTCACACAGTGCGACCAAAACCGCCACGCCTCGTGCATGCTACAAGTCACTTTTGAGAATTCCAGTCTCCGCAGCCCGTCAAATTCAATCTTTCAACGGCGACTCACCGTCCCATGCATGCTAACGGCAGCTTCACGCCTAGCCCGGGATTTTTCGGGAAGGCGATATGCTTCAGGGTTACCACATCCTGCGAGAATCGAACGGAGATTCTGCGAGACTGTAACACAGCGTCATTCGAACAGGTAATCCAGCCAGGGATTACGCGAGGTAGCTGTAAGTTACCATGTTACCATTTCACTCGCTCCTTTTTCTGCACACCCCCGTTTCCCTTGGGCCTGCTTCCTCTCCAACTGATAGTTCGTTTTGCTCCTCGAGACAAGATCCTCTCTTGTCGTCCTCATGTAATCTGCCTCGTATATTCGGTTTCCAGAATTCTCGAAAGTTCCTTCAATTTTACTGCTCCAACGCCTCTCGTTCTTCTCTCGCTGTTGAAGCTCGCGGTTCAAGCTCGCTGTTGCTTCCTGCTCCGTCTCGTTCTCTCTCGTTCTCTTGTTTCTAATGCTTGCTGCTGCTCAGCTGATACCTGACTGATTTGACCTCCATGGGACGGACGATGGGAGTGATGGTGGCGGTAGCAGGGCTGGTAGCAGCTCTGCTTGCCACGTGGCTCGCCAGGTGGATGCTTTTGGTGGGTCCAAGTGATGAGTCGCACTCCAGCCAGCACCTGGAGAAGGTATTTTTGGGAGTGATGAATTCTCAAATGTTCGAGAGTGGTTTGTGGGGTTGTCCCACTCACCAGATGGATGCTCGTGGTGGTTCCGAGTGATGAATCGCACTCCAGCCAGCACCTTGCTATCTGATGCGACCCGATGGCATTCCATTTCATCCCACGCATCCCATGCATCTGATCAAGCTGTCATACCCTTGCTTCCATTCTCTGCTATCTAGCCACCCCATGCCATGCCTGTCAAGCATGTGATGCTGGTGTATACCCCACAAAGTGAATCGATGCATTCTCATCTATTTTCTTCATCTGATGCAAACAGATGGGCCATTCTGATGGGAGGCTGAAACTTCGCACAACGAATGTGTAACATCAATTTAGCTCCCTGCTCTCCCCACCCCACCCACACCATGCATCTTCCCTAACCTTCTGTTGTCGTTTGCAGCTCCCTCAGCTGGCATATAGCAGCTCTACGCCAGAACCAAAGCCTTGGGCGCAAGAAGCTAAGCCGTTGGCGCATTTTCCCCTGAGCCTGCCTGGTGTAAGTGCTATCGATGGTCAGCCGTTTGATTCGTCTGGAGGTGTTTTTTGAGTCGGCTCAAAAGCCAAGCTGTTGGCGCATTCTCTGTTGAGTCTGCCTTGTGTAAGTGCTGTCATTGTTTAGCCATTTGATGGGTCCTTAGCCATATTGCATCCTGCTACCAGTGCTGTGCAGTGCAAGAGCATGATGTCTTGCCAAGTGCATGGCCTGGTGAAGCGTATTTGGTATATTGCCAAAATGGCTGATTAAATGTTCCTGGCTTTTTTTTTCCTGCATCCGTCTTACAAAAAAATCCAAGCGTGTGTGCAGGCAACGCATGCCATGTCCACCCATCGTCGCAGTGAAGTGATTGAATAACAATTGTCTTGCTCTCCTTCCACCCTCCTTTGCATGCACGCACATGCCATCTTCCCTCCCAGCCCACTGACACCACCACCACGCACTTTGGTTTCATAACACTCTTATCTTACCTTCAAGAGATTCATCACATGGTCATGGCTAGTCAGCCCTTCAGGAAACTGTTAACATACCTTCAGCGTGCTCCTTATTCGGCCATGATTCGTCAAGTTTTGATGGTACGTGGATGCGGGATTGTTCGTGTTTCTATTGCCAGCTGTTGGTGCTATCGTTAACTATTTTTGTGTGTTACTAGAACTGCAGCACAGTTAAGCGACATTACAACTGCATCAGAGTAAATGTCTTGATTTTGTTGGGCCTTGGCTGGATCTTCTGGGGTTGATTTTTCCCATGTCTATTCATCCCGTTGGTGCTTGGTTCGAAATCTTAGCTGGTTCATGGATGTCTTCCGCATTATGTTGCTTACTGTTTGTCCTGTTTTTCTTCTCCATACGAATCACAAGTCGCCCAGTTTCAATATTGAAACCACGCCCTGCTTTGCAGATGACCGCGATGTACATGGCAGCACTGCTCTCTGTGCTCTACTCCGGTGGGCTCGCATGTGTCTCGTGCAAGTGAGCACATCCTCCCTTCAGCAACTCAAGTAACTCTCGTTTTACTCAAGTAACTCTTGTGTTTAAACTCCCTTCGCTCCGCAGATGACCTCGATGTACATTGCCTGCACAGCTCTCTGTGCGCTACTCCGGTGGGTTCGCACGTGTCTTGTGCAAGTGACCTTCATCCAGCGACTCAAAACGGGGCAGGAGAGGGAAGGCGTTTGTGCTGGTAGTAAGGAGAAAGAGAGGGTAGTGGAAGCAGTGGATCGTGAGTTGGATGAGCTCAAGCGTCGTTTGCTGAAGCTAGAGGGTGAAAGGGCAGACACAGAGAAGGCAGCTACAGAAAGAATCCATCACTTGGAGGACGAAGTGGCAGCAGTGAAGGTGGAGTTGACAGCTTTGAAACGAGAATTGTCTTATGATTTTTTTCCAGGAAGAAAGGCGCATGACGCGAAGGGCGGCGTGAAGCAGAATTTTGGTGAAGTGATTCGCAATGCACTCCTCAATTTGCAGCAGCGGGGTCATGCGCTCATCATGCAAGCGGGGGAGTGGATGCCATCATGTTGTGGGCCACCTGAAAAGCGAGAGCAGAGTGTCGCATTTTCGGGCAGTGTGCGAGCGAGGCAGTGCAGGTCCTCGGTATTTGGAGTGTATCAGAAGCAGAGTGGTGCTTTCTCTAAGCAAGCGGAGCAGTGCAGGTCCTCGGTTTCTGGGTCGCCTCAAAAGCAAAATCAGAGTGGTGCTCCCTTTGATGAAGTGGAGGAGTGCAGGGTGTCGTGACTCCTGGCACTTGACGAGTGAGGATGGCTTAGACGCAATGGAGGGGACAATTTAGACGCCCTACACTGGCAGCGTCTCACTTGTGTTGGTTCCAGGGGCAGATGATTTGGATGATGACCTTTCATGAGGGAAGAAAGGGAGCAGCGGGTGTGCAAGTGCAACCAAGGGAGAGGGGCACTCACTCGCACTGCCCTAGCTGGTTCTCCTGCTGCAGCACAGGCACAAATAACGGATGACTTTGATGAGTAGTGTTCTGTCGCAACCACCCTTGTGACAGTCTAGGTATTGTTGATACATGTTATTCAAATGTATAGGTCTCAGTGCAACAATGCATTTCATGTATTGGTACCTACGGCCCTCTATAATGGTTTCGCCTAATGCGGGTTTTCTGCCTTGTTTCTACCATTTCCCCCAGCACCTTCTTTCCCATCAGTACTGATCTGACATTCCATGCACGGAACACAAATCACCTGTCATGAGATGGGACGGTCACCTGTGATTTGTGACAGCTTGGAACACGACACCTGGCCGAAAGAGTAGCGGATAGCCGTCGAAGCTGCCTATAGGAGCAGAACGCGAACGGCGCGTATTCTGAGCCTGCTATGCCGCGTGTATCCACCATTCATAGGTCAAATGATGGCGAATCCGATAGTTCCATGGAAACAAAACCCATCAACTGCCCCGGTTGTCATGCACGAGTTGGAAACGTCGCAAGTAGAGTGGTTCCGCTGAAAAATCTTCGCAGAATGATCTCCAAAGCTGCGACAGTCATGGCAGTCGCACAGCGAGAGTCGGCGCACGGAAATCGCACAGCTGCGGAAGAATTGCTCTATGTACGGAGGGAGCGTACTATGCACGATGTGAGAAGAATTGGTTCCAAAAATTCGCGAAAGCAATAACAGCCCTACCAGATTCAAGGTTCGGCTTTGAGTGAGCTTCGTTTTGTCGCTCGCCACCACGCCTCGTGCATGCTCTTCGCAGCTTCCCTCCCGTACACACGCCTAACCAGGATTCTTTCTCACCCTGACACCTCGGCTTTGATAGGAAGTGATCTGGCCTCACGCCTAACCCCACGCCTCCCTTTTTCAGTGTGCTTCCCGTACCTGCCGCCTCTTTCCCGAACCCAGGGAATTATTCGGCCGTCGAATGTTCTCAGATGTCGTCGCGTGGAAGGCGAACCGCATACGAACATGTAATCTGTTACCATGTAACGCCCCGAGTTCGCCGCTTTGTTCGACCAGCATCCCGTCACGCCCCTCTCCCCAGAAATTCCTCTCTTTCCCCGTTCGAACCTCATCTTCCCCCTCTCAAACACCCGCCCCGCCCGCATGCCCCTCTTTCCTTGCTCTGTTTCCTCACCTCCCCACCTCCCACTTCTTTCAGTCTCTCCTCTTTCGCCCCAGGCAATATTTTCTTCTTGTCGTCCTCATAATTCCTGACCTCTCTACCCTTGCTGTTTTGCTGCGCCACTCTCTCTGTTTCCTTCCGCTGCTTTTGCTCGCTGCTGCTTCCTGCTCCATCTCGTTCTCCCTTGTTCTCTTGTTTCCTACGCTCGCTGTGCTCAGCTGATTTCTAACTGTAACCCATGGGTCGGACGGTGGGAGTGGTGGTGGCGGCAGCAGGGCTGGTAGCAGCTCTGCTTGCCACGTGGCTCACCAGATGGATGCTCGTGGGGGTTTCGAATGATGAATCGCACTCCAGCCAGCACATGCAGACTGTACGTTACCAAGTTCCTTTAGCGTATCAAATCTCAGTCTAGTCTTTGTCAAGAGGCTCGTAGTAGCAGCACTGCTTGCCACGTGGCTCACCAGATGGATGCTCGCGGTGGTTCCGAATGTTGAATTGCCCACCAGCAAGCACATGCAGACTGTACGTTACCGTCATGTGCTTCTTGTTGTGCACCCTTTGTACTCTTCGTCGTCATGAGCTCCGTCTAAGCTTCATTTACACTTGAGTTTCCGACTTCTGTCATGTGATGTCGTTCCAACCTTTCAATGCTCACCGTCACTGCATCATGCACTTGCCTACGCTCTCTGGTGCAAGAAGCCAAGTCATTGACATTAATGAACATTGATCCTATTACCTCTGCAGCTTCCTCAGCTGGCAAATAGCTCTGTGCAAACACCCGTGCCATTGGAGGATTCATTTAAACGCACACCATGCGTTGTTCCCGACCGACCCCCCTCTTGCTTCTTGCAGCTCCCTCAGCTGGCAAACATCTCTGCGCAAGCACCCGAGCCATTGGTGGAAGAATCCAAGCCTTTGCTGAGCCTTCCTGGTGTAAGTGGACTTTGTGATTAAGTGCACTCTCTGATCAAGGTTTCTCTATGATGAACTGTGCCGTTGGCTATTCCGTTACCTTCACACTCCGCATCATGCCTGCAATATCTTGCATCTTCTTGCCTTTAAAAAAGAAAGGGAAAAAAAAGAGAGTAAAATATGCATAGTAAAATTGTAAGATTGCAGTAAAATTGTATCGTTGCTCCTGCCTTCTCTCCCCCAACTCTGCCATGCATGTGCAACTTCCCTCCCAGCCCACAGGACAGGCAGTAGCGCACAATCTGGTGCCAAGACACTCTTGTGGCTTGTCTTACCTTCAACATGTTTGTTACTCGACCATGGCTTTTTGGCCTTTCAAGGGGCTCTTACTTTTTCTTCCGTTTCTGATTCCGCATGCATGTGCAACTTTCCTCCCAGCCCACTGGCAGTACCACCCAACCTGGTGCCAAGTCACTCTTGTCGTACCTTCAACATATTTGTTACTCGACCATGGCTCTTCAGCCTTTTAAGGAGCCGTTGTCTTTCCTTCAGCTTCTTCGTTACGCACCACGGTCTATCATGTTCTGGTGGTACGTGATTGTGCATTTTGTTCTTGTCTCTATTGGCAGGGTTATCGCTTTTCTCGTTTGCTTGTATGTGAGTAGAAAACAAGCGACCCTTTCAGTGCAGCATTTAACAACTGCAGGAGAGAGGGTATGTTGATTATCTACTTACATACATGTAGCTTAGCTGGGGGTGGGTAGAGGTTCCGCTGTTAAGACACCCTTGGCTGTGTGTTTCCGCTGGTTTTCAGAGCTATAGGTTTTTCTTGCTACACTGAGTTGAATATTGTTTTTTTTTTTTTTTCTACGCTTTGTTTCTTTGCAGGTTTCCTGTTTCTGCATTGCCGGCGCTACTATCTGTGCTTTAGCGGGCGTGCACGTCTTTTGTTATTTTCGAAACAAGGCCTTCACACTTGAGCCCTTCATCATGAGGCAGACTATAAAGGAGGTGGAGGCAGGTTGGGGAGGCAACGTGGATGTGGTTACAGGGCGAGGGCTGAATGTCAAGGTGGGGAGGAGGAGCAGGGGGGAAGGGAGGGGTGAGATACTAGAGTTGCATGGTGATTTGAAGGGTGAGTTGAAGGATGAGTTGAAGGCTGAGTTGAAAAGTGAGTTCACAAATCTATGCGCTGGCAACTGTGCTGGTGTGGAGGATAAGGAGAGGGTTGTTGGAGCAGTGGCGCGTGAGATGGGTGAGGTGAAGGGCCGTTTGCTGAAGGTGGAAAGTGAAAAGGAAGCTGCGATGAAAGTGGCTGCAGAGCAGGCTGCTGCGGAGAAGGTGGGAGCAGTGGAGCGTGAGTTGGGTGAGATGAAGGGCCGTTTGTTAAAGGTGCAGAGTGAAAAGGAAGCCACAGAGAAGGCTGCTGCGGAGAAGGTGGGAGAAGTGGAGCGTGAGTTGGGTGAGCTGAAGAAGCATTTGATGAAGGTGGAAGGTGAACAGGCAGCTGTGGTGAGAGTGGCTGCGGAAAAGGCAGATTTAGAGAAGGTGAATGAGTTGGTGGGAGTAGTGGAGCGTGAGTTGGGTGAGGTCAAGGGCCGTATGATAAAGGTAGAGGGTGAAAAGGCAGCTGCAGAGAAGGTGAATGAGTTGGAGAAAGTGACGCGGGAAGGATTTGCAGCAGCGAAGGGAGAAGTTGCAGCACTGAAGGGAGAAGTTGCAGCAGTTAAGGGGGAAATTGCAGCAGTGAAAGAGAAAGTAGCAGCAGTGGAAGGGGAATTGGTTGATCAGAAGTCCCGTCTGTTAGAATCAGAGGCAGCAAGGGATGACAGCTTTGCAGCAGGGAAGGGAGATGTTACCTCAGTGAAAGGGGAAGTGGCAGCGATGAAAGAGAAGGTAGCAGCAGCGGAAGGGGAGTTGACTAACCAGAAAGTCCGTCTGTTGCTTTTGGAGGAGGAGAAGAAGGCTGCGGAAAGGGAGGCGCATGAAAGGGTGAAACGCGACGCGAAGCGGGCCCCTGATGAAGCTGCAATGCGCAAGATATTGCAGCAGCCTGGTCCGATCACCAAGGAGCAAGTGGAGGAGTGCAGGCCTTCGTGATTCGTGAGAGTGAGTCGCATACGACTCGTGAAGCTTGCGGAAAGGGAGTTGCATGACGCAAGCGTAGGGGTGTTGGCTGTTGTGAGCTGTGTTGACTCAAAACTGCATGTAATGAGTCGAGAAGAGGCACACGGTGCAGAAGAGGAGGGGAACTGGGATGGGTTTTGGTGACTTGGTAGCGAATGGCTCATATTGTGCAGGCATGTATAGCGAATGCTGACCTGAATACAAGAAAGGATGTGGCTTTGAGTGTAGGGTTTAGGAGTGAGTGTGTGGAGAGGATCAATTGCACAGCAGTGCCTATAGGGGGTGACATACTACCACCAGTACTAGACATGGCTTGTATGGTGTACGATGGGCCTGATTGGCAAGGAAGGAAGTTACAGGTGCAGACGTGGAAAGAAATTTGGAAGGGTCAACCTCCCTTTTCTCACATAATGTCCCATTGGGAAGTTGGGTATATTCATAAAGATCGGCCTGGCTGAGTTTAATTAGATGCATGTGAAACCATACTAAGCTTGCTCAAGTTCAGTAGTATGTACATCTAAGCGACTTATCGGGGAGGTTCATAACGCATTTCAGCCTCTCACGGTTTTGATCTCACTCCGCTGATCTGATTACTAGTCTCACGAGCTCAACAACAGCTACCGTATTCTCCTCAGCAGGTGATTTCTTCACTAGCTCCTCGTTGTCACCTTTCCTAGCTTCCTCCCATCCAAGCCCGTCTCGTCTTGTGTCTGCGCAGGGCTTTCTCTCCCGTAGCTGAGGCTCGACGCTGCTAGTATCTCAAGTGTGGAGTGTTATCAACGACTTGTTAGCAGCTAAGTTGTATACAATTCCGACTGGATCAATGGTGCAGCTGTGGTGGGCTGTAGCAGCGGCCGCAGTGCCAGTCGTCTTCATCCGAAACCTCGTGCGAAACCGCGACGGCGATTCCGATTCGCGAAACAACGCGTCGTCGTCCCGGCGAAAAGGCGGCAAGCGCGGCGGAGTCGCGGTCGCAGACGACGCGTCCGTCGGCGGCGACTCGTTCGTGTGCGAGCGCGTGTGCGCGTCGCGAAGGCTCTTAAATCGAATGGGACCGTTCTCCAAGGACCCGGCGCCGAACACGTGTGTGACTGTATGCGGAGTGTCTGACGTGGACTCGTGCACGGAGGCGTGTCGGCGCGTGGTGTGCGTGAATCCGCACCACGTGCCCAACTGGAACGACAGCTGCATGCGCCGCTGCCAGGACGAGTGCCTCCGCGGACTCGCGCGCTAATGGGCGCGCGCTAGTGGTCTGGGCGGATCGGGAGATTTGATGACCCGGGCAACGGCGATCTGGGCGTTAGACGAGCCAATTAGGGGTCTGGTGCGGTGTTTAGCCGATGGCGTGCAGTGGAGATTAGGCTGTGGCAACCGGGCGTTGGCGGACGAGAGGGGATTAGCAGGGTGGCGGAATTGGGAGGCGGAATGGGGAGTGGAGGTGGTGTGCGTGAATCCGCACCACGTGCCCAACTGGAACGACAGCTGCATGCGCCGCTGCCAGGACGAGTGCCTCCGCGGACTCGCGCGCTGATTGGAGCAGTGTGATGATTGGTCGAGCGCTCTGATTGGACGAGGTCGCTGATTGGACGAGTGCGCTGGTTGTTCAAGCTCGCTAAATGGACAAAGTGCCTCTGCGGCGTTGCACGCTGATTGGGATGTGCGGTTCAGTGGAGACTGGGCCACAGAGATTAGACGACGGCGTGCAACGCAGGGTTTCAGCGCAATGCTGTCGGGGAAGGTCAATCAGCCAATGTGTGTTGGTCAGGGGTGTGTTGCCAAAGTGTGGAGGATGGACGGGATGATGGTGAGCAGTCAATTAGGGTTGTCCAGTGCAGCAGCAGCAGTGTAGAGATTAAGTTTAGGGGACTCAAATGGGGTAGAGACGGATGCTAGGACACGTGGCAGCAGCAATAACCAGAGAAAGGACACGTGGCAGCAGCAGCAGCAGCGGAAGAAAGGACATGATCCAGCAGCAGCCTGCACGTTTCATGTGCATCTCCTCATTTCTATACCTGGATTCTGTCAGTACTGTGTTTAGGCAGGGATGAATGGAGAAATCAGCTTGCAGCAGGGATGAACGGAGGGAGGGAGGGAGGAAGGTTAGGCATGAATATTTCAAAGATGCCATGCCATGTCAGATAGGATCCTTCGTTTATTTTACGGTAGAAGTCGGCAGCGGTCATTCTGGTTCTGAGATTACAATAGTTGATTAGGGAAGTTGAAATTGTGGCGTCTGAAACTGAACCTAGGTGGATGGTGGTGGATGGTGCATAGCTGGGGATAATTGCTCAGTTGACTCTCTCGTGTGAGATTTTCTGGGCATGGGTACATCACCCATTTAATATATGAATTCAGTACCAATACATCACATGCAGCTACGTATACGTAGTTGTGAAATTGTGATAAAAGGCAAAACACTCATTACCGTGTGAAACCACGAATTCGACCGCACTTGAACGATCAGCGGAGGAACCCAAGCTAAGTTCAACCCAACAGCAGCAGGGAGCCGAGGTCCCACGCGGCGCCAAGTCAGCTTTCCCAGCAGCGTCACGGCGCAGTCAGTACCGCCATTGCTTTTCCGTCACCTCAGCGCCTCTGGAGCAGCATTCTCGCGAATTTCTTACTCGTTGTAAGAGTTGTATAAATACTGAAGAAAATCAAGGTTCCGTTACTGCGGTAGTATGGCGGTCGTTCCGCTGCTTTCTACCTGCTCTAATCTCGTCCCGTCATCCTCATTCCTAGCGCCTGCCCTCTGCCTCTCGCCCAATTTCTCCCTCTTTACAAGCAAGAGATTCCCGAATTTTCTCTTACAGGAAGGATACCGAGGAAGTCACCCTTCTTTGGTTCGCGCTAGGGCTCTTTCTCGGTCTAACTCATATGCTCGTACGCCAAAAGCGTTAAATTTAGTTCCCCGTCGCTCGCGATTGGTGGCTGTTCGATCCAGGGCGTTCGACGAGCCGCGGGAGAGATCCGCGGGGAGATCGGGGGAGGAGCGGGGGGAGGAGCGATGGGGGAAGGAGAGAGGGGAAGAGAGTTGGGGGGATGATGGGGGGGATGATGGATGGGGGGACGAGAGGGCGAAAGAGGGATGGCGGGAGCGGAAGGAGAGGGAAAGATCGGCGGAAAGTTGGGGGGAGCGATTGGCGGAGTGGGTTGGGGGGGAAGGCGAGGGCGGAGGGTCAGGGGAGAGGTCGGCGGAGAGATGGGGGGAGCGGAGGGGTGGGGGTGGCGGGAGGGGCGCGCGGGGAGGACGAGGAGGGCGGACAGAGAGGGGTGGGCGGGGGGGCAGGGGACAGGGTTCAGGGTTTAGCCTATTTGGAGCGGATCGGTTTGAGGAGGGGCGTGGAGGGTTTGGGGGGAGACGGCGGGGGGAGGGGGATGGGGAAAGAGCGAAGTTGCAAAGGGAAGAGAGGGGGGACGGCGGATGGGGGGAGGGCGGAAGGGGGGACAGCGGAGAGGGTTCTGGGTTTGGGTCAAGGTTTGGTGGTAGGCGTTCGCGAGAGAAGGTTACCAGGCGAAAGCACACGGAGTTGGCGATAGGTCCCGCGCTGGTTACCAGCATTGGCGAAGAGGCGGAATTGGGGGAGGAGGGCGAAACAGGCGGGCTGAGCGAGGGGTTGAAGGGGGAGGTAAAGGAAGCGCGAGAAGGGGGAAGGGGAGCGGGGCAGGGGGGAGGCGGAGGTGATTATGGAAGGCGTGACGGTAGGGAGATTGGGGGGAGGGGGGGAGGGGGAAGCGGAAGGGCGCTGGTGGGTGGGGGAAGGGGGAGGGACGCGCAGAGAGGCGGATGGGGGGTTGATGCGGATGAGTGGGTTGAGGATGGGGGGGATTGGCGGGTGGAGGAGCGGGAGGATGACGACTGGGGGGATGACAGGGGCGCAAGGGAGGGCGGGGGGAGGGAGAGGGGGAGCGGGAGTGGCGGATGGGGAAGAGGAGGGCGTATGGGTGGGGAGCGGATGGGGGTTTACGAGCAGTGGAGCAGGGGGGTGAGCAAGCGCAGGGCGAAGGCTGTGGGGGGCCGGGGGGAGGGGGAGGGGGGCATGGGGGAATATGCAAATGAGGGGAAGGCGGGGAGAGAGGGGAGGGAGGGGAGTGGGGGAGAGGGGGAGGAGTCGGATGAGGAGGGGGGGAGGCGGTGGTGGCAGCGGGGGGATAAGTATGTCCGGGGGGAGAGGAATCTGAGGGAGGAGGGGGATGTGGGGGGGAAGGTGAATGTGGGTGGGGAGAGGAGAGGAGGTAGGGGGCGCAATGAGGAGGAGAGAATGTATAAGGGGAGTGATTATAAGGAGGGGGATTCTGGTAGGAGGGATTATAAGGAGGGGGGTTATGGGAGGAGAGATTACAGTGAGAGAGTGCAAGAGGAGGACTACGGTGAGAGGGTTGGGTATGGCGGCAGAGGGGGGTATAAGGGGGAGGGGCGCATGGAAAGAGGCAGGGGCGTGGGCGGTAGCAGAGGGGGAATGGGTACCAGCAGAGTAGACAGGGAAGGGGGCTATGATGAGAGGAACGGGTACAGCGGCAGAGGGAGGTATGATGGGGAGGGGCGCATGGACAGGAACGCAGGTGTGGACGAGAGAGGTGATTATGATGATAAGAGCGTTTACACGAGGGGAGGAGGCGGGCTAAGAGGCATGGGCGCTGGCAGAAGGGAGAGTATGGGTGGGAGAAGAGGAACAGAGGGAGACAGACTGGGCAGGGAAAGGGGAGCAGAGGGAGTGAGAGGGGCAAGGTGGGAGAAGGAAGGAGGTTTGAACGCGAGAGGCACTCGAGGGGAATATGCTGAATGGGAGGAGCAGGAAGGAGAGGAAGGTGATGAGGGGAGACGAGGAGGCGGAGGGAGAGGCAGCAGTGGTGGGAGAGGCGCCTCGGTGCCGCCGTCACTGTCAGCAGCATCAGCAGCTTCAGAATCAGCTGTATCAACTGTACCTGCTGCTGTCCTTGAAGAGCCCACTTTGAACTGCGAGCATTTCACAAAGTAAGGAGCTTCATTGGCTTTATGCTCCTTCCCCACCTCCCATACCCGCATACGTTTATGCACCTGTCCATGCATTTCTTCCCTCTATCCGCCTGCTCTCTCTCCCACCAACCCCACGCTCTCTCTCCCGCTCCTCTCTCTCTCTTTTGAAGAATACAAGGCATAACTGTATCGTAGACTAAGCTGACAATCGTAGGCCCTTTTTTAGGGTCATGTAAGGATCTTTTCCCACTCCCTTGCCCACTCCCCTTCCCCCTCTCCCTTCAAGCAGCTGCTCCGGTTGCAATCTCAATGCTGCCCTTGACCGCCCTCTCATAATCACAGAGGCAGAGGCACATAACGATCTTTTTGCTCTCCCCTTCTCCCATCCCTGATCCCCTCCCACTTCTCCCCTCTCTAACCAAGCAGCTGCTCTGGCTGCACTCTCAATGCTGCTCTGGACCGCCCTCCCATCATCCCAGAGGCAGAGACCCATAACACTGCGCATCACCTGCCTTTCTTCTTCCCGTTCTTACCCCTCACCCCCCCAAGCAGCTGCTCCCTCTGCAATCTCAATGCTGCCCTTGACCGCCCTCCCATCATCCCAGAGGCAGAGACACTATAAACCGCTTGCTCATCCCTCACCTTTCTCCTCCCTGTTTTCTCCCCCTTCCGCCCCATTCAGCTGCTCCGGCTGCAATCTCAATGCTGCTCTGGACCGCCCTCCCATCATTGGGGAAGCAGAGGCGTTCTTCCAAGCTCGTGGGGTGGCGGGCTTTAAGCTGCACACCGCTGATGTGGTGAGTGGGATAGAAGGGCAGGGAGTACATGCATGCTGTGGTGCTCTCAATGTTGCCCTTGACCGTCGTCCCATCATCAAGGAGGCAAAGGCGTTCTTTGAAGCTCGCGGGGTGGCGGGCTTTAAGCTGCACACCGCTGATGTGGTGAGTGGGAGAGCTGGTATGCACACGCACATGTATGCGTACGCATGTTAAGATTGCTCTTCCTTGCCCGAGGGGTGATGGGCTTTAAGCTGCACACCGCTGATGTGGTGAGCGAGAGGGAAGGGGAGTGCTGTGTGTGTATGCTGCTGAGATGGTGCTCTGAACACTGCCCTAGACCGCCCTTCCATCATTGGAGAGGCAGAGGCATTCTTTGAAGCACGCGGGGTGGCGGGATTTAAGCTGCACACCGCTGATGTGGTGAGTGGTGGGAGAGAGGAGGGCTGGGGGAGGGGGGATGGGACTGTGCATGTATCTATGCATGCTCTGAATGCTGCTCTGGACCGCCCGCCCATTATCAAGGAAGCAGAGGCGTTCTTTGAGGCACGCGGGGTGACCTGATTTAAGCTGCACACCGCTGATGTGGTGAGTGGTGGGAGAGGGAAGGGGAGTGTTGTGTGTATGCTTCTGAGATGGTGCTCCGACTGCTGCGTTGGACCGCCCTCCCATCATCAAGGAAGCAGAGGCGTTCTTTGAAGCACGAGGTGTGACGGGCTTTAAGCTGCACACGGCTGATTTGGTGAGTGGGATAGGGGGATGTCTTGTTCCTTTATCACCCTCCCCTCCCCCCACCCCACCCTGCCCTCCCATCGTGTGGCAGGTGGAGTGGCGGTGCAGGGCTAAGCTGGCAGTGAGGGGCATAGCAGGGGAGCCACTGGTGGGGCTGTATGCAGCACGGTCGCACGATGTGGTTGACATTCCCATGTGCAGAGGTATGTAGGGGAAGGGAGTGGGGTTCTATGTGGTTGTGCATGGTAGTATGTGGTGATTTGCGGAGAGCAGGGAATCCAGCTGGTGGGGCTGTATGCAGAGCGGTCGCACGACACGATGTGGTGGATATTCCCATGTGCAGAGGTGAGGTTAAGTGGTTGTGTGCAGTGGTATGCGGTGGTATGCGGAAGTATCTGTTCTTTTGTGGTATGCTGTGGTGTGGTGTGCAGGCGAGCTGCCGGCGGGGCTGTATGCATCACGGCACGGTCGCACGATGTGGTGGATATTCCCATGTGCAGAGGTGGTGAGTGAGGGAGGGGGAGATGGCACACCTGTATTTGCAGACAGGAGAGTGTGTGAGCGAGCGGTACAGCAGAGGATCCAGCTGGTGGGGCTGTATGCAGCACGGTTGCATGGTGTCGTGGATATTCCCCTGTGCAGAGGTGTGTGGGGTGATGATGTGCTGGGGGCTGCCACGTCATTGGGAATAAATCTTCGTGTAGTCACGCAGATGCTGGTGTATTGAGACGTCTCAAAACAAATCTTCATACACAATGCTGTTGTATTTGTACCCTCCTTCCTCCTCCCATCTAGATTCTCTCCCTCATCTCCCCCGTAAACCTATGCTGCACTTTGTTCCTGTTTATTGCTTCCCTCTTCTTCTCCGCTGGTAAAATCTTCTCTCTTACCCCTCTATTCTCTCATCCCCTCTACTCTCTCACCCCCTCTACTCTCTCACCCCCTCTACTCTCTTACCCCTCAACCCTCTCACACCCTCTGTTACAGCCCACCATCCGCGCCTAAATGCTGCTGCAGCTCTCGTGCGCTCAGGTGAGGCTCGTGGGAGATGAGGGGGTTGTGTTTCAGGTGAGCGGCGTGGTTGTGTTGTGTTGCAAGTGAGATGAGAGAGTTACTTTGAGGTGACTTTTTTTAGTGCATGTAATTGTTATTTCAGGTGACCCTTCAGCTGATTGTTATCTGAGTTCTTTTTCTTGTACGCTCCTCTTTTCTCCTCTCATCTCCTCTAACACTCAGCTCATTCTATTGTATTGCACCCTCCTCTTCCCTCCTCACTACAGTGATCAAGGACCTGGGCATAGAGCCTTATAACGAGGAGACAGGCCAGGGGATGCTCAGGTATATTCAGGTGAGGTCCAAATCTGGTGGGTTCCTTCAGGTGTTTTTCCATGTGCCCGTCGGGTGGACTCCAGCTGTTTATTAAGTGGTTTTCAGTTTCAGGTGTCCATCAGGTGTTTTTCCAGGTGCCCATCAGGTAGTATCCAGGTGTTTTTTAGGTGGCTTTCAGGTGGTCATCAGGTGGTGTTCAGGTGCCCATCAGGTGGTCTCCAGTTGCTTATTAGGTGGCTTTCAGCACGTCAATTTTACCTGCTGCTGTTGCAACAACCCCTTGCTCCCTGCAGCTTGCTCCATTCATCATACCTCTTGCTCCACTCCCTCCCACCCATTTGCACCTCGCAGCTTGCTCTCACCACCAACGACACCTCCATCCCTTCTTCTGAGCGATATTTGAAAGGTACGCACGCATTATCACTTTTGGGTTTTTTTGGTGCTGAAACAAGCATGGTGCATACCTGCAATAATAGTCGAGTTTTGAGTCGACTCAAAACTCGACTCTCATTTTTTAGATTTCTTTGTGCTGAAACAAGCTTGCTGCATACCTGAACTGAAAGGTACGCACGTGCTATCACTTTTGATTTTTTTTTTGGGTGCTGAAACAAGCATGGTGCAAACCTATGCACGTGCTACATACATTGAATGCACAGTGACAGTCCAATCAGCTCGTCATCTGCAGATAGATGCATAATCCATTCAGCCACATAACCACACACACATGCACACACACATGCACACACACATGCACACACACATGCACACACACATGCACACACACATGGCATATGCTGTTACCACGCGAGCCATATGTTGGCTAGACATGCTGTTGCCATCCCGCCTTCACTATTGTCTGTCATCGCCCATGCCTCCATCCATCAACCCATCCCAGGCAAGGTGCAAGTGACGCTGGTGTGGAACACGAGCAACGAGAAGCCTTTTGAGTCGACTCAAAGCTCATCTTCCTACGGTTGAGCTTTGAGCTTTGAGTTGCAACCCATACTCCCATTCTCCCTTCCCAGGCAAGGTGCAGGTGACGCTGGTGTGGAATGCGGGATTATGGATCGCCTTAAAAACACCACCAAAGACGTCCGAATTCCTATCATCAAGAACAATCTCCCATCATCCCATCCCAGGCAAGGTGCAGGTGACGCTGGTGTGGAATACGAGCAACGAAAAGTCACCCGCTGCTGAGAAGATTCCAGCCTTGTGCAAGGTGGGTGAGGGAGAGAGAGATTGAGAAGCTGAAGGGGTCATGGTGCACAGAGAGTGAGAGAAGCTGTAGGGTGACGAGAGGCACAGAGAGTAAGAGGCAAGGTGCAGGTGACGCTGGTGTGGAATGCAAGCAACGAGAAGTCACCCGCTGATGAGAAGAACCCAGCCCTGTGTCGGGTGAGTGAAATTCTGGGAAGGTAAAGGGCTAAGGAGCAGACAGGATCAAGGTGTGACAATCTCATTTCATCACATGCCAAGCAAGGTGGCCCTGAGGTGACGCTGGTGTGGAATGCGAGCAACGAGAAGCCGCTCACCGCTGGGAAGATCCCAGCCCAGCTTGTGTCGGGTGAGGGCGAGATGAGAGATGAGAGGCTGAGAAGCGGAGGGAGTGAGTGGTACGGTTCAGCTGCGGTTGGTGATGGATAGATTGAGGTTCAGGCTATTTTTGAGTCGACTCAAAAAGAGGAGATTCCAGCTCAGTTCCCGGTAATGGATAAATTGAGATTCAGATTCAGGGGCTTAGGAACTGACTGACAGGCTGACTGACTGACTGACCAAGACTAGCATGGCTGACTGACCTTCCGCTTTGCTGTCTCCAGGAGCTTTGGCTAACGGGAGGCGCAGAATTTGCTCAAACCCCTTGCAACCGTTCTGAATCTCTGTTTCCTCTCGCTTTCTCTTCTTTCCTGGCGCTCCATCCCCAGGAGCTGTGGCGGCAGGGAGGCACGGATCTAGCTTGAACCCTTTTTAACCGTTTTGAACCCATTTGTCCTCCCGTCCCCCCACCTTTCCACCGCCCACCCACCATCCTCAGGAGCTGTGGCGGCAGGGAGGCAAAGAGGCAAATTTACTGCACTCTGTGTGGGTGAACTTCCAAACATCCTTTCAACCGTTCTACACCCCTTCGTCCTTCCATCATCTCTCCTCCCTCCTCCCCCCCCTCCTCGAACCATCCTCAGGAGCTGTGGCGGCGGGGAGGCAAAGAGGCAAATGTGCTGCACTCTGTGTGGGTGAACTTTCAGACCTCGTCCAGCAATGTGAGTGAGATGAGTATGGATTTTGGGCAAATCACCCCCCAGGTAACAGCAGTGATACAGGGGTGCCCAGGGGCTCGAGTGCTGCACTCTGTGTGGGTGAACTTTCAGACCTCGTCCAGCAATGTGAGTGAAGTGATGGGAAGGAGGGGAGTCACAGAGTTAGGGGCTGAAGGGAAGGGGACCGGGTGGGTGGGGAGGCAAAGAGGCCAATGTGCTGCACTCTGTGTGGGTGAACTTCCAAATCTCGTCCAGCAATGTGAGTTCAGCATTGCTTGTGGAGAGGGGTCAGGGATTTAGGGCGTACTATTTCCAGGTAACAGCAACAGTACAGGAGTGGCCAGGCGCTCAGCGTATGCCATCCACTTCTTCTCTGGTACTTTAAACTTTTGAGAGTTCTTAAAAGTAACACCAACATACGCTGCCTGATGAACGCCTGAATACCTACACTGCGCTGCACGGTCTGCCTGCATCACACACGATTATTATCTATGTGCACGCACGGTGTGGTCTGAATGCCTGATCTGCATGGTCTATGACTCTTCGGTGCACCGCATGCCATGCCCATTGAGTCGACTCAAAAGTGTATCGATACGTGCCAGTCGTTACGTTCCCTTCCCTGCAGGTGATGGCTACTAGCACCATACCATGCACGATACTCATTCTTTGGCTCACTTTACTGTCCCTGCAGGTGATATTCGGTGGCAGGTGGCGGCACATGATTGGTCCAACGGACATGTGGGAGCGGCTGGGGGGCGTGGATGTGTGCTTTACTCCGGGCAGCTTTGGGCAGGCCAACTACAAGGTAAGGGGTTGAGAGAGGTGCAATGAGTTTGCTACTACAAGGTGAGAAGTGGGGAGTGGTGGGACGGGGTACCAAAGGTTGAAGTGTCAGGTTGAGGCTGGGGGGCGTGGATGTGTGCTTCACTCCCGGGAGCTTTGGGCAGGCCAACTACAAGGTGAGGAGTGGGGAGGGGTGCGAATGGGTACTGCAAGGTAAGACCATTGCAAGGTGAGTCTGGTGGGTGGTTGGCCCGACGGACATGTGGGAGCAGCTGGCTGGCGGGCGTGGATGTGTGCTTCACGCCCGGGAGCTTCGAAGAGGCCAATTACAAGGTGAGGTGGGGTTGGGTTTGGGTGGGTATTATTACAAGGTGCGGGGTGGAGAGTGGTGTGACTTGGTGCCACAACCTGAAGAGCCAAGGTTGTGGCTGGGGGGCGTGGATGTGTGACTGGGTAACACAAACTGGGCTGGGACAGGGACTGAGCGGTGCGACTGGAAGGTGAGACTTGGCCCGACGGACATGTGGGAGCGGCGCATCTGGGGGGCGTGGATGTGTTTGCTTCACTCCTAGCAGCTTCGGTCAAGCTAACTACAAGGTGAGACTTGGCTTGGCTTGGCCCGATGGACATGTGGGAGCTTTGGGCAGGCCAATTACAAGGTGAGGGGTGGGGAGGGGTGAAGAGAGGTGGGATTGGGTGCCACAAGGTAGAGGCTGGGGGGCGTGGATGTGTGCTTTGCTTCACTCCCGGGAGCTTTGGGCAGGCCAATTACAAGGCGAGGGGTGGAGAGAGGTGGGGTTTTGTGAGGGATACAATGTGAGGGGTGAGGAGAGGTGGGACTGGGTGTTACAAGATGAGCATATATGGATGGTGCAGGGAAGGAGACGAGGTGAAGGGTCAGGTTGATGCTGAAGCTGAGGGGTGTGGATGTGTGCTTCACTCCTGGGAGCTTTGGGCAGGTCAACTACAAGGTGAGGGGTGGAAAGAGGTGGGATTGGGTGCCACAAGGTCAGAGTCTTGATTTGAGGCGCCCCAACCAAGAATTGAATGCGTGAAGTCGCTTTAGTTCCTCAACACTTGCTGTAGAAGAATGTCTTGGTCGGCGGCAATGATCTAATCCCTCTCTTTCTAATTCCTCCTTCATTCCTATTCCTCTTCCCCCCCTTCTCTTCCCTTAAACAGGCGTTTGACTTGGTGTTGAAGCATCTGCACTCGCTCATTCTCTGCCGCTCCTTCTGGTTTTTGAGAATTCTAAAAAACCAGGTGGAGCTGTACGCTGGCGTTGGGGCCATCGGGCTCGCTCTTGCTGCTGCCACACACTCTCCTTTTTCCAACCCCTTCCTCCACCCTGTTTGTCTCCCCCCTTTCCCTCACGGCCACTTCCATCCTGTGGTGGAGCTTTACGCTGGTGCAGGGGCTATAGGGCTGTCTCTTGCTGCTGCCACACACTCTCCTTTTTCCAACCCCTTCCTCCACCCTGTTTGTCTCCCCCCTTTCCCTCACGGCCACTTCCATCCTGTGGTGGAGCTTTACGCTGGTGCAGGGGCTATAGGGCTGTCTCTTGCTGCTGCCACACACTCTCCTTTTTCCAACCCCTTCCTCCACCCTGTTTGTCTCCCCCCTTTCCCTCACGGCCACTTCCATCCTGTGGTGGAGCTTTACGCTGGTGCAGGGGCTATAGGGCTGTCTCTTGCTGCTGCCACACACTCTCCTTTTTCCAACCCCTTCCTCCACCCTGTTTGTCTCCCCCCTTTCCCTCACGGCCACTTCCATCCTGTGGTGGAGCTTTACGCTGGTGCAGGGGCTATAGGGCTGTCTCTTGCTGCTGCCACACACTCTCCTTTTTCCAACCCCTTCCTCCACCCTGTTTGTCTCCCCCCTTTCCCTCACGGCCACTTCCATCCTGTGGTGGAGCTTTACGCTGGTGCAGGGGCTATAGGGCTGTCTCTTGCTGCTGCCACACACTCTCCTTTTTCCAACCCCTTCCTCCACCCTGTTTGTCTCCCCCCTTTCCCTCACGGCCACTTCCATCCTGTGGTGGAGCTTTACGCTGGTGCAGGGGCTATAGGGCTGTCTCTTGCTGCTGCCACACACTCTCCTTTTTCCAACCCCTTCCTCCACCCTGTTTGTCTCCCCCCTTTCCCTCACGGCCACTTCCATCCTGTGGTGGAGCTTTACGCTGGTGCAGGGGCTATAGGGCTGTCTCTTGCTGCTGCCACACACTCTCCTTTTTCCAACCCCTTCCTCCACCCTGTTTGTCTCCCCCCTTTCCCTCACGGCCACTTCCATCCTGTGGTGGAGCTTTACGCTGGTGCAGGGGCTATAGGGCTGTCTCTTGCTGCTGCCACACACTCTCCTTTTTCCAACCCCTTCCTCCACCCTGTTTGTCTCCCCCCTTTCCCTCACGGCCACTTCCATCCTGTGGTGGAGCTTTACGCTGGTGCAGGGGCTATAGGGCTGTCTCTTGCTGCTGCCACACACTCTCCTTTTTCCAACCCCTTCCTCCACCCTGTTTGTCTCCCCCCTTTCCCTCACGGCCACTTCCATCCTGTGGTGGAGCTTTACGCTGGTGCAGGGGCTATAGGGCTGTCTCTTGCTGCTGCCACACACTCTCCTTTTTCCAACCCCTTCCTCCACCCTGTTTGTCTCCCCCCTTTCCCTCACGGCCACTTCCATCCTGTGGTGGAGCTTTACGCTGGTGCAGGGGCTATAGGGCTGTCTCTTGCTGCTGCCACACACTCTCCTTTTTCCAACCCCTTCCTCCACCCTGTTTGTCTCCCCCCTTTCCCTCACGGCCACTTCCATCCTGTGGTGGAGCTTTACGCTGGTGCAGGGGCTATAGGGCTGTCTCTTGCTGCTGCCACACACTCTCCTTTTTCCAACCCCTTCCTCCACCCTGTTTGTCTCCCCCCTTTCCCTCACGGCCACTTCCATCCTGTGGTGGAGCTTTACGCTGGTGCAGGGGCTATAGGGCTGTCTCTTGCTGCTGCCACACACTCTCCTTTTTCCAACCCCTTCCTCCACCCTGTTTGTCTCCCCCCTTTCCCTCACGGCCACTTCCATCCTGTGGTGGAGCTTTACGCTGGTGCAGGGGCTATAGGGCTGTCTCTTGCTGCTGCCACACACTCTCCTTTTTCCAACCCCTTCCTCCACCCTGTTTGTCTCCCCCCTTTCCCTCACGGCCACTTCCATCCTGTGGTGGAGCTTTACGCTGGTGCAGGGGCTATAGGGCTGTCTCTTGCTGCTGCCACACACTCTCCTTTTTCCAACCCCTTCCTCCACCCTGTTTGTCTCCCCCCTTTCCCTCACGGCCACTTCCATCCTGTGGTGGAGCTTTACGCTGGTGCAGGGGCTATAGGGCTGTCTCTTGCTGCTGCCACACACTCTCCTTTTTCCAACCCCTTCCTCCACCCTGTTTGTCTCCCCCCTTTCCCTCACGGCCACTTCCATCCTGTGGTGGAGCTTTACGCTGGTGCAGGGGCTATAGGGCTGTCTCTTGCTGCTGCCACACACTCTCCTTTTTCCAACCCCTTCCTCCACCCTGTTTGTCTCCCCCCTTTCCCTCACGGCCACTTCCATCCTGTGGTGGAGCTTTACGCTGGTGCAGGGGCTATAGGGCTGTCTCTTGCTGCTGCCACACACTCTCCTTTTTCCAACCCCTTCCTCCACCCTGTTTGTCTCCCCCCTTTCCCTCACGGCCACTTCCATCCTGTGGTGGAGCTTTACGCTGGTGCAGGGGCTATAGGGCTGTCTCTTGCTGCTGCCACACACTCTCCTTTTTCCAACCCCTTCCTCCACCCTGTTTGTCTCCCCCCTTTCCCTCACGGCCACTTCCATCCTGTGGTGGAGCTTTACGCTGGTGCAGGGGCTATAGGGCTGTCTCTTGCTGCTGCCACACACTCTCCTTTTTCCAACCCCTTCCTCCACCCTGTTTGTCTCCCCCCTTTCCCTCACGGCCACTTCCATCCTGTGGTGGAGCTTTACGCTGGTGCAGGGGCTATAGGGCTGTCTCTTGCTGCTGCCACACACTCTCCTTTTTCCAACCCCTTCCTCCACCCTGTTTGTCTCCCCCCTTTCCCTCACGGCCACTTCCATCCTGTGGTGGAGCTTTACGCTGGTGCAGGGGCTATAGGGCTGTCTCTTGCTGCTGCCACACACTCTCCTTTTTCCAACCCCTTCCTCCACCCTGTTTGTCTCCCCCCTTTCCCTCACGGCCACTTCCATCCTGTGGTGGAGCTTTACGCTGGTGCAGGGGCTATAGGGCTGTCTCTTGCTGCTGCCACACACTCTCCTTTTTCCAACCCCTTCCTCCACCCTGTTTGTCTCCCCCCTTTCCCTCACGGCCACTTCCATCCTGTGGTGGAGCTTTACGCTGGTGCAGGGGCTATAGGGCTGTCTCTTGCTGCTGCCACACACTCTCCTTTTTCCAACCCCTTCCTCCACCCTGTTTGTCTCCCCCCTTTCCCTCACGGCCACTTCCATCCTGTGGTGGAGCTTTACGCTGGTGCAGGGGCTATAGGGCTGTCTCTTGCTGCTGCCACACACTCTCCTTTTTCCAACCCCTTCCTCCACCCTGTTTGTCTCCCCCCTTTCCCTCACGGCCACTTCCATCCTGTGGTGGAGCTTTACGCTGGTGCAGGGGCTATAGGGCTGTCTCTTGCTGCTGCCACACACTCTCCTTTTTCCAACCCCTTCCTCCACCCTGTTTGTCTCCCCCCTTTCCCTCACGGCCACTTCCATCCTGTGGTGGAGCTTTACGCTGGTGCAGGGGCTATAGGGCTGTCTCTTGCTGCTGCCACACACTCTCCTTTTTCCAACCCCTTCCTCCACCCTGTTTGTCTCCCCCCTTTCCCTCACGGCCACTTCCATCCTGTGGTGGAGCTTTACGCTGGTGCAGGGGCTATAGGGCTGTCTCTTGCTGCTGCCACACACTCTCCTTTTTCCAACCCCTTCCTCCACCCTGTTTGTCTCCCCCCTTTCCCTCACGGCCACTTCCATCCTGTGGTGGAGCTTTACGCTGGTGCAGGGGCTATAGGGCTGTCTCTTGCTGCTGCCACACACTCTCCTTTTTCCAACCCCTTCCTCCACCCTGTTTGTCTCCCCCCTTTCCCTCACGGCCACTTCCATCCTGTGGTGGAGCTTTACGCTGGTGCAGGGGCTATAGGGCTGTCTCTTGCTGCTGCCACACACTCTCCTTTTTCCAACCCCTTCCTCCACCCTGTTTGTCTCCCCCCTTTCCCTCACGGCCACTTCCATCCTGTGGTGGAGCTTTACGCTGGTGCAGGGGCTATAGGGCTGTCTCTTGCTGCTGCCACACACTCTCCTTTTTCCAACCCCTTCCTCCACCCTGTTTGTCTCCCCCCTTTCCCTCACGGCCACTTCCATCCTGTGGTGGAGCTTTACGCTGGTGCAGGGGCTATAGGGCTGTCTCTTGCTGCTGCCACACACTCTCCTTTTTCCAACCCCTTCCTCCACCCTGTTTGTCTCCCCCCTTTCCCTCACGGCCACTTCCATCCTGTGGTGGAGCTTTACGCTGGTGCAGGGGCTATAGGGCTGTCTCTTGCTGCTGCCACACACTCTCCTTTTTCCAACCCCTCCCTCTACGCTGACTGTCTCCCCCTCTTTCCTTCTCGGCCACTTCTATCCTGTTCCCCCTGGACCACCAACAGGCGTTTGACTTGATGCTGAAGCATCTGCACTCGCTCATTCCCCGTCGCTCTACAGTGGTGGAGCTTTATGCCGGGGCAGGGGCCATAGGGCTGTCCCTTGCTGCCACCACCACACCCTCTCCCTGTCCACCCCCTCCCTCTACTCTGCCTTCCCCTCTTCCCCCATGTCCACTTCTATCCTGTTCCCCCTGGACCACCAACAGGCGTTTGACTTGATGCTGAAGCATCTGCACTCGCTCATTCCCCGTCGCTCTTTAGTGGTGGAGCTTTATGCCGGGGCAGGGGCCATAGGGCTGTCCCTTGCTGCCACCACACAGTGCAGGTATGCAAGTTCTCTTTCCAGTCAGTTCCCTTGGCAGGTATACTCTGTGCCTGTTAATCTGTTCCCCGCCGCTCTTGTGGTGGAGCTTTACGCTGGGGTAGGGGCTATAGGGCTGTCTCTTGCTGCTACCACACAGTGCAGGTACGTGAGAGCAGTAGTGTTTTGAGTCGCCTCAAAACATGGTCTGCGGTGGAGTTATATGCTGGGGTAGGGGCCATAGGGCTGTCCCTTGCTGCTACCACGCATTGCAGGTATGCGAGCCAGCATAAATAGCAATCAAATATAAAAATCGCCAAATGAAACGGCAAACAAAAAGGGAAAAAGAAAGCATGCTTCTCCGTTTTTGCGTTTCCTGGCAAGATAATATGTTTTCGTTCATCCTCGCACTCTCACACCCACTCCGACCCTTTTCCCGTGCTGCCTCGTTGATCTTGTAGCACCGAACTGCCTCGATTTTTCTCAGTGTTCGGTGCTACGAGATCAACAAGGCAGCACGGGCCCCCTTCACGCACTCACTGGAACGCCTGCAGCCGCTGCTGCGCCACCCCTCTCACTCTTCCCCTCCCCTCTCTTCAACCCCCCCCTTCTCCCCATACAGTGTGCGTTGCTACGAGATAAACGAGGCCGCCCGGGCGCCCTTCACTCGCTCACTGGAGCGCCTGCAGCCGCTGCTGCGCCACCCTGCTTCCGTGTCATGGCACCAGGCAGACGCAGAGGCACCTGTTGAGGTGAGCACTGAGCAGTTAACACTGAATGCTGATGCACTCTCAACTGCAGCCGCTGCTGCGCCACCCTGCTGCCGTGTCGTGGCACCAAGCCGACGCAGAGGCACCTGTGGAGGTGAGTTCTACTTGAGCATTGCATTGCAGGACCTCTGAGTTATACCCCTCTGCTGCACCTCATCTGGACATTCTTTTGGATGCCGACGTGGTCCTGGTGGACTTTTCTTGTCGGGCTCTGCACGAGCCAGGGGTTGTGCCCCCTTTGCGTGTTATAAAATTGCTCACAACATGCGTGCCTCCCCTCCTAACCCGTCTTCCCCCCCTCCCAGTCCCATCTGAACATTCTACTGGATGTGGACGTGGTGCTCGTGGACCCTCCTCGCATAGCAGGGGCGTTGTACGGCTTGCATCATGCATCATCTCTTTCCTCGCTTCCTACCCCTCCTTCTTCCCTCCCCATCAGTCCCATCTGGACATTCTTCTCGATGCAGACGTGGTGCTCGTGGACCCTTTTCACTGGGGCTTGCACGAGCCAGGGGAGGCGTTGCTGTCCCTAGTGAACGTCACAATGTGCATGACCTTGCCAATCGCCCCCTGCTTTCTCCATCCTCCCACGCAGTCCCATCTGGACATTCTACTCGATGCAGACGTGGTGCTCGTGGACCCCCCTCGCAGGGGCCTCTTCTGCAGCAGCTCACATCGTGCGTTCATCATGCGTTTCTGATCCCTTCTCCCCCTTCCCCTTCCCTCCCTTCCCATCCAGTCCCATCTGGACATTCTACTGGATGCGGACGTGGTGCTGGTAGACCCACCTCGCAGGGGCCTGCACGAGACAAGAGGAAGGGTTGCTCCCTGCTGTATCTCGCATGATGCATCATCTCTTGCCTCGCTCCACCCCTCCCTTCCTTCCCTTCCCTCCTTCATCAGTCCCATCTGGACATTCTATTGGATGCAGACGTGGTGCTCGTGGACCCCCCTCGCAGGGGCCTGCACGAGCAAGTCCTGGCTGCTCTGCTGCACGCAGCCAGGCATGCCGGCAGGTAACGTGGATGATTCTCGGTGTGTGTGCCTGTCCTGTGTATGTGTGGACCTGGGTGCATGTCTGTGAGTGAAACCTCGTAGGGGCCTGCACGAGCCAGTCCTGGCTGCTCTGCTGCATGTTGCCAGGCATGCTGACAGGTATGATAAACCCTCTGTCTGAGTGAATGTTTGTGATTCAGAGTGTGTGTGTGCTATGTATGTGAAAAACACGGACTTGCAGGGGCCTGCACGAGCCAGTTCTGGCTGCTCTGCTGCATGCTGCCAGGCATGCTGACAGGTAACGTGGACGTTTGAATGTCAGGGTGGGTGTGTCCGCCTGAAATTGTGTGTTCCAGAGTGCGTGTGTGTGATACTCGCAGCGGCCCAGTCTTGGCTGCGCTGCTGCACGCAGCCAGGCATGCCGGCAGGTGGGGCGGATGTGTTGGTGTGTCAGGGCGAGTGTGGGCGTGTCTGAGAGTGCACGTGTGTGACACGTAGGGGCCTGCACGAGGGCTGCGCTGCTACACGCAGTCAGGCATGCCGGCAGGTGGGGCGGATGTGTTGGTGTGTCAGGGCGAGTGTGGGCGTGTGGGCGTGTGTGCGTGTGTGAGTGTGTGTCTGGGAGTGCAAGCGTGTGACACTCGCAGGGGCTTGCACTCGCAAATCCTGGCTGGCTTAGCTTCTGCATCCTGTGTCTGCATGCTGCCAGCATAGACTGGCTCGTGCAGGCCCCTCTGACTGCTCTGTGTTTGATTTTTGAGAATTCTCAAAAATCACTCGCAAATCCTGGCTGGCTTAGCTTCTGCATCCTGTGTCTGCATGCTGCCAGCATAGACTGGCTCGTGCAGGCCCCTCTGACTGCTCTGTGTTTGATTTTTGCGAATTCTCAAAAATCACTCGCAAATCCTGGCTGGCTTAGCTTCTGCATCCTGTGTCTGCATGCTGCCAGCATAGACTGGCTCGTGCAGGCCCCTCTGACTGCTCTGTGTCTGATTCTTGAGAATTCTAAAAAATCACTCGCAAATCCTGGCTGGCTTAGCTTCTGCATCCTGTGTCTGCATGCTGCCAGCATAGACTGGCGGTTTGACTGCAGGCCCCTCTGACTGCTCTGACTGCTCCTCTGACTGCTCTGTGTTTCGTTCCCAAGCGTACTCTTCTTCGTTTGTTTCCTTTTAGTTGCTCACGGTGTCTCGTGCTCCTACCCTCCCCTCCTCTTCTCCCTGTGCACCACTGCCTGCCTTTCTCCTCTCAGGGTATCCCAGCAGCAAACAGACAGCCAATCTAGCAGCCCTGCCAGGAATGCAAAGTCCAAGGCTGGCAGCAGCAACAGCGGTGGGGCGAAAGCGGGTGACAGCTTGACTCTGGTTTACATCAGCTGCGGATGGGACGCGTTTCAGAGGGTGAGTGGGTGGGGGCTAGGGCGGGAATGGGAGCTAGAGGATGTGTGCGGGAGGAAGGGCACGTGTGGAATTGGGAACACATCATTAGCACCCGGTGGCTTGACTCTGGTTTACATCAGCTGCGGATGGGACGCGTTTCAAAGGGTGAGAGGGCAGTGAGGGCGGGGGGGTTACAGGGAGGGAGTATGGGCGTGAGTAAGCAGGTAGAGGCAGCTTAACAAGGTATAGGCCTCGCCCTATACCTTGCTACCCATTCCAACACACCACCCCCGGCTCGCAGGATTGCTACACGCTCATTCACGAAACGGCCTCTTTTATCTCTTGCATGCCTTCACCCTTTGCTACCACTCATGTCCTCGATCGCTTCTCAGTTCCTCACTCAACCCCCCCACGCTCACAGGATTGTGACAAGCTGACTCAGGACGGCCTCTTCCATCTCTCCCACGCCGCTGCATTCAACTTCAAAACCTTTTCCTTAAGCTCATCTCCTGCACCCTACCCCACCCCACCCCACCCCACCCCACAGGATTGTGACAAGCTGACTCAGGACGGCCTCTTCCATCTCTCCCACGCCGCTGCATTCAACTTCAAAACCTTTTCCTTAGCCTCCTCTCCTCCACCCCTCCCTACCCCTCCGCACCCCACCCCACAGGACTGTGACAAGCTCACCCAGGACGGCCTCTTCCATCTGTCCCACGCCTCGGCCTTTAACTTCTTTCCTGGCACTAACAGGTAGGCGTTACTGTTATATGATTACTGTTAGATTTGACCCACCTCCACCCCCAACCTCTCAGGATTGTGACAAGCTCACTCCGGATGCTCTCTTCCATCTCTCCCATGCCTCTGCATTCAACTTCTTTCCTGGCACCAACAGGTAGGCCGTTAGTGTTATTCAGGTAAGACACAGGTAATGCTACTGGTACATGTTTATGCCAACTGGTAGGCCTTTAACGTTACACAGTTACACCAACAGTTAGGCCTCTACTGCCAGGCAGTCCCACCAACAGGTTGTTCTTGTTACGGGGTTGCTTGCACCAACAACTGGGCCGTTTCAGGTAACGTGGTTACATCACCGGACACACATGTTACATGGTACATCTGCACTATTACATGGTAACAGCAGTAGGTACACTATGCACAAAGGTATATTTTTCCTTGCTGCTGATGCAGTTCCACCCATACACAGTGCACCATTAGGTGCGCCCGGATGGATAATCCATGAACTGAGTTGGCGATAGGGAGAGGCAACACGAGAAGTGCTTTTCCATCTTCATTTAGCATCACTCCTGACTGCTTTGTCCCAACTGCACTGAAGCTCCTGCCTGCTCGTGCCTGCTCTGAAGCTCCTCCTGCCTTTGTCTCCTTGTGGTAATCTATCGTTTGCAGCATCGAGACTCTTGCTGTCTTCACAACGGCCAAGCCACGCGCATTGTAGAATGTGCCAATCAGACAGATTTTAGTCGCTGAAGATTCACACGGTATGAGATTATGGAGATGTGGTTGTTTGATTGGACGCCTCATAAACAAGCACGGGTGCTGGCTCTTCTGGGAGGCGTGTCGTGTGCATGTACGTGTTCCTTATGTTTGTCTCATCATGATACTATCTCAATCAAATTGAGTTGGGTGAGCAGTGAGAACAGAATCTTACAGGGGTTTGGACCTCACTGGTTCAATTACCTTTGGCAGTGGCCTTTTAGAATCCAAACCAATCATGTTCTACCTTCGCTGTCCTCCTGACCCTACTCCTTACCCTTCTCCCGACCCTCCTCTATAAGCACAGGCACTCCTCCCCGTGCAATCGAGTCATGCACAGCACACACCACCCGCTGTGTCCGCTCCATCATATCCACCCATCGCCCATCCAATGCCGCCTTCCCTCCCCCCCCTCTCACCCCCCTCACAATCCGTGCCAGCTCAGCAATCATCATTGCCTCCTGCGTCCACGTCAGCACGGTTTCTCTCCTCTCAACCGTGGATTCCACCCCCAGACTCGGATTTGGCCACTTGGACCCCTTTTCAATCACAAACTTGGCCTTATCTTCCTGGAAGGGGATGCAGAAGTCCTCTAGTGTGATTGTAGCGAGGGAGCCTGCAAACTCAAGGCGCTGGGAATCAATAGAATCAAACCCGCACTGGAATAGAGCGGTTAACCCGTTTCGCCAGCACAGGTAACCACCACAGCGAATCAAAACGCCTTCTTCGTTAACCTTGGGATCTGGGAGACCCAGCACTTTATACGGAAGCTCGAAATCCGCAGCCCAGAGTGACGATCGGATACAGTACCACCCGATGTCTCCCAAACACCCCAATCCGTCTAGATCTTTCTTCAGCCGAATGTCCTCCTTCATAAATTCCTCTGATCCTGGGAAGAAAAAATTCGCCGTTACGCGCAGGAGCTGCCCGAAAGATTCTCTATCCTGCATGGCCGCTTTCATTTCGACTGCCCGTGGGTTGTGCATCCACATCGTGCCGTCCATGATCTGAACTCCCGCCGAATCGACGGCTGCGATCATGGTTTCCAGATCGGCCACATTCAGCGACACGGGCTTCTCTAGCAGAATATGCTTTCCGTGATTCGCGGCTTTCACCACCCACTCCACGTGGAGTCCAGTCGGCAGCGGGATGTAAACCGCGTCCACTAACGGGTCCGCAATGACGTCAGCGTAGCTTCCGTAAATCGCGGCGTCCTCAGCCATGCCGACCTCCTTAGCGAACTGCGCGGCTCGCTCGTAAGAACGGCTGGCTATGGCGTACGGAATGACGCCTGGTACGCTCTGCATTGCGCGAACTACCTTCCGTGCAATCTTCGCCGCGCCTAGGATGCCGAACCTCACAGGCATGGGATTCAATGGCGCCTCTGGTTCGGCCATGACTGCTCTTTGCGAATGCACGGGAGGTTTCTGGAGACCAGGGAGGGCTGAACAACCTGATAGTGCGGACAAACGGTCGGGTAGGGAGTATCGGTGGGGGCAGAAAGGGAAGTGGAAGGTGGAACTTGATTGGGTGGCATCGTGCCTTTATCACGAGTATGCGCTCAAACGGCAAGGATGTGCGCGCGATGATAAGGAAGGCGGATAAGGGCGCATTCCTGTGTGGACACAAATGTCTCAATCCCCCTTTTCCCGAGTCGCGTCGTAACATTTTGTCAACCTCGCGTCACAAAAAAGGAATGTATTGCGACACTAGGCGACCAGTGGAAATGTACAGTTGTGCGCTTTTGATTGGGTTTCGGAATTGACTGTACACCCGTTTCTTCAAACGCCTGGCTGGGGTGTGGTTTCGACGCGCGGGTTTTTTTCCCGCACGAAATTGGCATTGGGGGGTGTTCAGGTGCATTGACATTTCGAACCGCGTGCGACATTTTTCCAGTGACGGGTCGATTTGCAACTCGTCCGCGACGTTAGCGCGTTTCACGCTGACCAATGAAAAATACAGTAATGGTCGCTAAAAGGCGATTCCGTTTGTGACATAATACGTTTTATGCTGTTTTTACGCGTCACAATAGGATTGAGACACAAATGTCCACACAGGAATGCACCCTAATAGTGGCTCGGGTGTCGCGAACCTTGCTAAGACACCGAACCGTAAAAGATTTGGAGTGTCACGCAACAGTCAAGAAACCACACCCGCGACATTCCCACAGCTCAAGCTGCTCCCTACAAGCTTGTCAGAACGTCAAGTTCGTTATAGCGTGGAAGGATGGAGTTATTAGCTTAGGGTGTTGTACAGAATCCAGTGAACATCACGAGATCATTAAGGAATAATATTATCATTAAACATTAAGATTGTTTTCGAACATAAAATTATTTTCTTTATGATGGGTGTACTTTGAACAGGAAATGCCTTCACAAGAGTAGATATTCACATCTTTCAACTTTCTTGCTATCCCCTCCATCCTGTTCTGCGTCTCTCGTAACGGGTACGATTCCGCCCCTTCTCTCAATGCAGCTGCCCACCAACACGTGCGTGAGCTGTCCGATCAACTAGTCTCTAAACTAGGTTGAACATTAGCTAGTTTAAATTTCGAGACAGAGAAAAGGCATAGGCATAGGCGAATAGGCATAGTCCAACCATCGGGGGCGCTAGCCGCGTCACGAGTCTGCGTATTTTTGCTACAACCTTTTTTTGGCCGTGTTTCGGAAGTATGACTATTCGTCGGACGCGCAACCCTGACGTCACTTCGACAGTTTGAATTCGCAGTTTTTTGTCGGTATCAGGAAAAGCGGAGTTCGGACCTACCAGAAAACCAGGAGGTGCCAGAAAAGTAGGAGTTAGGAGAAAGCTAGGAGCTGCTAGTGACAGGATGGCGAGTTCCGGTTCGCGTGCTGACGTGGCACAAGGGGCAGCAGCATGGCAGCAGGGTCGAGCTAGGCATCAGCAGCCGGAGATTAAGAAGCTTCCTCTCGTCGACGAATCGTACGCGCTTCCTCTCTCTCGACTTCGTGCCAATGCTCTCGCTCCCTGTGTAGCCGGTTCACGCCCTCTTCCGCGTCGCTTCCTTTCCTTCAGTAAAGGGTCGGTTGAGCTCCCAGCTAGTTCACGAAGGAAGTGACCGTGCACGGGTCGACTGAAGGGTACTCGAGCTAAGTGCTGAGCTTCGATTCACACCCATCACTTCCCCCACCACTCTTCCTTCCGCTCCCCTTTTGAGGCGATTTTTGGGCCTTCAGTAAAGGGTCGGTTGAGCTCCCAGCTGGTGCACCAAGGAAGTGACCGTGCACGGGTCGACTGAAGGGTACTCGAGCTAAGTGCTGAGCTTTCCCCACCACTTTCATCACTTTCCCCGCCACCCTCCCCACCCCCTCTCCCTTTTCTTCCTCCCCCTTAATTCAGTGGTCGGTTGAACATCGAGCTGCACGGGTACCCGAAGCTGGAAGCTTCTGTCTTATCTTCATTCATCACTTCCCCCGTCACCCTTTTCCTTCCTCCCCCTCAAGTGGTCGGTTGAACATCGAGCTGCACGGGTACCCGAAGCTGGAAGCTTCTGTCTTATCTTCATTCATCACTTCCCCCGTCACCCTTTTCCTTCCTCCCCCTCAAATCAGTGGTCGGTTGAACATTGAGCTGCACGAGTACCCGAAGCTGGAAGCTTCTGTCTTATCTTCATTCATCACTTCCCCCGTCACCCTTTTCCTTCCTCCCCCTCAAATCAGTGGTCGGTTGAACATCGAGCTGCACGGGTACCCGAAGCTGGAAGCTTCTGTCTTATCTTCATTCATCACTTCCCCCGTCACCCTTTTCCTTCCTCCCCCTCAAATCAGTGGTCGGTTGAACATCGAGCTGCACGGGTACCCGAAGCTGGAAGCTTCTGTCTTATCTTCATTCATCACTTCCCCCGTCACCCTTTTCCTTCCTCCCCCTCAAATCAGTGGTCGGTTGAACATCGAGCTGCACGGGTACCCGAAGCTGGAAGCTTCTGTCTTATCTTCATTCATCACTTCCCCCGTCACCCTTTTCCTTCCTCCCCCTCAAATCAGTGGTCGGTTGAACATCGAGCTGCACGGGTATCCCAAGCTGAGCGCCTTGGCTCGACTAAAGAATGGCGAAGCTAAACTTCACTTATCACTTCCCTCCTGCACCGCCCTCCCTCGCTATCCCCTCCCCATTTCCTTCCTTTCCCCAAAATCAGTGGTCGGTTGAAACATCGAGCTGCACGGGTATCCGAAGCTGAACGCCTACTTGTAAACTTCACCCATTTCCTCCACCACCCTACCTCCCTTCTCTCGTTTCCCCTCTCGCCTTATTTCAGAGGCCGACTGAACATCGAGCTGCATGGTTATCCGAAGCTGAACGTCTACTTCGTTGACCTCTTCCACACCCTGGTCAACGTGAGTCAACGCCTTGTCAACGGGAATGAGTTTGTCATTGCTTTATCAACGTCAATGGCTCTTCCACACCCTGGTCAACGTGAGTCAACGCCTGGTCAACGTGAGTCTATGCTTGGTCGCATATGTCAATGCAAGGTCAACGGGAGTCAGTGCTTCTTCCACTTTCTGGTCTGCATGAGTGAACACCTGGAAGTCAATACCTAGTCGACGACATAGGCCATGTCTCTTCCATAAAAGTGAAGATTTTTTGGGACGCTCCAAAACTTCACTTTATGCCTAGTCAACGTGGGTCATGTCTCTTCAATGTCTCTTGAACACCTATTAGTTGATTAATGCCACTGCCATAATAACATCCCCATCCCCATCCCCCTCACCTCACCCAACCCTTCCAGATGCCACTGAAGCGCTTCTCAATCGCGCACCGCTCTTCGTTACCTTTCCTTCTTCCGCACCCCACTTCCCCTCCCATCCACCAATCCTCACCGCTCTCAACCCCTCCAGATGCCACTGAAGCGTTTCCAATTGTGCAGTGCTCTTCGTTACTTTTCCTTCTTCCGCACCCCACTTCCCCTCCCATCTACCAATTCACACCACTCTCCACCCCTCCAGATGCCGCTCAAGCGCTTCTCAGTGGTGCTCGTGGCGGCCTATGCGGCCCTCTTTGTCACCTTCGCCATCCCCTTCCTCGCGTTTGTAAGCTTTCTCCCTTCCCCATTCCCCTCCCACACTTCCCTCGCTCTGATTGCTCTCTTCCTGCATTTTCCGTCACTGTTCATGGTGCCCTATGCTGCCCTCTTCGTTACCTTCGCCATCCCCTTCCTCGCATTCGTAAGCCGTTTCATTCGCCTTCCTACAGTATCCTCCTTCCTTGCTTCGTTTGCTCTCTAAATCCCCCCTCACCGCTCGTGGCGGCCTATGCTGCCCTTTTCGTTACCTTCGCCATCCCCTTCCTTGCCTTTGTAAGCCTCTTCCTCTCTCATTCCACTCCCGCACTCCCCTCCCGCTCCTGCACTCCCCTTCCCGACCCCACCTCTTGTTGCTCCTAGGCGCGAGTGTACGGTCTGGATTGCCTGCCAGGAGTGAAGCGACTGGTGTGGCACCCATATGCACCGCTCACCACCCCGTCTACTCCCCCGTGCACCTCTTGTTGCTCCCTCCCCCTCTCCCCCCCCGCCCCTCTGCCCCTCTTGATGCTTTCAGGCTAGAGTGGACGGACTTGATTGCCTGCCAGGGGTGAAGCGACTGGATCATGCAGTGTGGTGCAAGTATGCACCTCTCACCACCTTCCCCCTCTTCCCACCCGCCCTGCTGCCCCTCTCCGTTCTCTCAGGCTAGAGTGGACGGTCTGGATTGCCTGCCCGGGATGAAGTGACTGGATCATGCTGTGTGGTGCAAGTATGCACCTCTCACCACCTTCCCCCTCTTCCCACCCGCCCTGCTGCCCCTCTCCGTTCTCTCAGGCTAGAGTGGACGGTCTGGATTGCCTGCCCGGGATGAAGTGACTGGATCATGCTGTGTGGTGCAAGTATGCACCTCTCACCACCTTCCCCCTCTTCCCACCCGCCCTGCTGCCCCTCTCCGTTCTCTCAGGCTAGAGTGGACGGTCTGGATTGCCTGCCCGGGATGAAGTGACTGGATCATGCTGTGTGGTGCAAGTATGCACCTCTCACCACCTTCCCCCTCTTCCCACCCCCTCTCTGGCCTTTTTTATGCTTGCAGGCACGAGTGGACGGTCTGGATTGCCTGCCGGGGTTCAATCGACTTGTGTGGTACCCGTATGCACCTTCCCACAACCCTCCCCCTCCCTCCCCCCCACCCCACCACCTGCCCCTCTCCGTGCTCCCAGGCACGAGTGGACGGTCTGGATTGCCTGCCGGGGGTGAAGCGGCTGGATCACGCAGTGTGGTTCACGTGAGTCGTACTTCTTCAAATGCGCTCATGTGTGTGTACACATGCGTGTGTGGTGGAGAATTTTAAAGTACAGCCGTATGTGTGTGCGTGCACTCACATTGCACATCCATTCCCTGCCGCACATGCGCAGATTCTCTCTCCTTTCTCTTAATCCATGTTCCTCCACATAGCGCATCCCTGTCCATCCTTGTGCATACTAACCAATTTTTGCCAAACTCATTTTTTGCCAACTCATCCCTGCGACCTTGTCTGTTGCTGTTCCGCTCTATTGGTGCTGGGTGCTGGGTGCTGGGTGTTTGTTGCTGGTTGCTGGTTGCTGGGTGAAAAAAATCAACTGATGCTGGCACTGGCGCTCGCTGCTCTCGTGATCCGCCTCACCCAACTACTATCAGTGTGCAATCTTCCATGTCGATTGGTCAGTCACCTCATTCCCTTCGTTCTCCCTCATGCCGTTTCAGCCGATGTTGTCCATCTCATTGCTTCCCTGCTCCGTCCCACGCTTCTGATTTGTTGGAAATGTCGTGTCCCTGCCTGCCCTTCTCGCTTTCACAGCAAACCTGTAGGCTTCTTTACTCAGCCATCCAGCCCCTTATGCTTTCACAGTCGCTCTCTTTTATTATTTCTTAAAACCACTAAGTGAATATGAGTGTGGCTCTTTTCTTGGCATCCAGCTTTTATCATGTTGTCACGAAATTGTGTTCCGAGTTGGCCAGGGCTGTATCTGCGGTGCAAAGAAAATAGCAAAATTCAACCACGACGGGGATCGAACCCGCGACCTTTCGATCCGAAGTCGAACGCGCTAATCCACTGCGCTACGCGGTTGTGATAAAAGTGCTTTGGTAGGAATAATATCAGGTTTTCTCAATGTCTGCAGTGACCCAACCAACCTCTCCACCCCATGTATTTCAGGATTTGGTGGCGACCTCACACCGCACCCGGACTGCTTTGTTGTCAACTTCTTTGTCGCTGTCCTCTCTGTGGTTACTCTTGGATTTGCCTACGCCCTGCTCGGTGTCTTCTACGTCAAGTACGTGCTTTCTTTTCATGTGCTTCCCTTGCCTCTGTTGCTGTCAACTTCCTTGTCGCCCGTGGTCATACTAAGATCCGCGTATAACCATGCCTCCAAGTGCAGGACCTCTCGCCCCACCGTGCTTGGGGCATGGCAATAGGGAAATCGGGAGTGGAGACACTCTACTACTCGTCTTTGTTCATAATGAATTTTGAGTCGACTCAAAAGACACTACGCGTCCTCATTCATCACATCACACGATTACACGAAACGTACTCCCGCTCACCTAGGAATCTGCATCAATATCCATGAGTCATCTCTTCTCGTTCACATCTCTACTTTACCACCATGTCCCACATACCATTTTTCTAAACGCAGGTTCTCTTTTGAGTCGATTCAAACGTCGTTTCTTCTCGTTCACATCTCTACACCACACCACCATGTCCCACATACCACTTTTCTAAACGCAGGTTCTCTCGCCCCACTTTTGAGTCGACTCAAAAAGAATCAATATCCATGTGTCATCTCTTTTTGTTCATATCTCCACTTCACACCACCATGTCCCACATACCATTTTTCTAAATGCAGGTTCTCTCGCCCCACCCGGCGCTATTGGGAATTCTCAAAAGCGTCTCTTCTCGTTCACATCTCCACTTCACACCACCATGTCCCAAATACCATTCCTCTAAACGCAGGTTCTCTCGCCCCACTCGGCGCTGTTGGGAATTTTCAAAAGCGTCTCCTCTCGTTCACATGCCCCATATCGCAGGTTCTCTCGCCCCACCCGGCGCTATTATGAATCTCAAAAGCGTCTCCTCTCGTTCACATCTCTACACCACACCACCATGTCCCAAATACCATTTTTCTAAACGCAGGTTCTCTCGCCCCACTTTTGAGTCAACTCAAAGGTATATCCATGTGTCATCTCTTTTTGCTCATATCTCTACTTCACACCACCATGTGTCCCACACATATCATTCCTCAAAACGCAGGTTCTCTCGCCCCACCCGTCGTGCTGGCACCATCAAGTTCAGCCAATACATGGTCATGTACGAGGTATGCAGCGGTACAATGCGGTGTAATTGTGCGTTGTGGTGTGGGTGAAAGGTGTGGTGTGGCATGGTGCAGGTTCTCTCACCCCACCCGGCGTGCCGGCACCATCAAGTTCAGCCAGTACATGGGCATGTATGAGGTACGCTGCGGTGGCTGCGGTGTGATGCGGTATGCTGTGGTACGGTACAGTGTGGTGTGGCGTGCCGGCACCATCAAGTTCAGCCAATACATTGTCATGTACGAGGTATGCTGCTGTACGGTGCCGTGCACTGTGCTGGGGTAGGGTGGGGTGCGGTGCAGTGTGGTGTGGTGGTCTGGTCTGGTGTGTTGTGGTTTTGTCATGTATTTGATATGGCTATGCACAAGGTATGGCGCGGTGCGGTGTGGTGCATGGTTATGCATGGGTTATATCCTTGGCCCCTCGTTTCAAATGCTGCTATGTCACATCATACCTAAAAGAATTGAGAAGCAAATTATAGGGTGTGAAGAATGGTGTGCATTACCAGAGCTGGGTATTCCAGCTATCAAAGTAAGGGCAGATTCAGGGGCTACGATATCAGCAATACATGCGTTTAATGTACGTATCTTTACGAAGGATGATAAGGAGTTTGTAACTTTCCAAGTACATCCAATTCAGGCTAATAGAAAAGTGCACATACAGTGTATTGCGCCACTGCATAGTAGACGCATAGTGAAAAGTTCAAATGGTATTATAGAGAAGCGATTAAGTATTTTAAGCACTATTAAACTTGGAGAAAATAATTGGACTATTGAATTAACTTTCTTTAACTTTATTTTAACTTTATTGGTGTTTGTCTTTAATTTGGGTTTATTGATCAAACCTTTTCTCCTTTACTCTATGTTCTGTGACTGTTCTCAGCTCAGCCCCTTCCTTCCCTGCACTGCGCTCACGTCTCTCTGCATCTCCCCTTCTCTCTCTCTTCGCCTCTCCACCACTCTCCACCACTCTCCACCACCCTCCACTGCTATCCACTGCTCTCCACCGCTTGCGTTGCCCACAGGAGTTTGGGCAGCTTCGTCTCGCCTTCCGAGTGGCCGATTTCAGGAAGCATCAAATCATATCTGTAAGCATCAAATCATATCTGTAAGCATTAAATATCATTCCTACCCCCTCTGTCTCACATCCGTCCATCCATCTTTTCACTCAGCAGCACGCGTGTCGTATCACTCTATGTCTCTCCTCCTTTCCTTTGGGTCATATCCGTCCATTTGTGTAACAACAGCGCATGTGCGCATGCTAGCAGAGCTGGAAAACAACATTCAAGCACACAAAGACGAGGCAGTCTTAGGGTTCTCCCAGCTGTCTGTTTGACAGGCACCTGCCTGTCAGTCACCTGTCTGTCGCCTGTCAGTCACCTGTCTGTTCGCCTGACTAACTTTTTCCCGCCCTTATACTCCCCCCACCAGGCGCATGTGCGCATGCTAGCAGCGCTCAGCAACAACATCCTAGCTTATGATGAAGAAGTGATATTCACACTTGTCACCTGCCACCCGTGTGTTCACACACTCACCCCCTCCTTGCCATGACCACCTTTTTCCCCCCTTATGCTCCCCTCACCAGGCGCATGTGCGCATGCTAGCAGCGCTCAACAACAACATCCTGGCTCATGAGGACGAGGCGGTCTTCAGATTCTCCTTCTGCCTGTCAGCCCGCTGTCACCTGTCTGCTCACTCACCCACCACCTTTTTCCCATCCGAATCTCCTCTCACCAGGCGCATGTGCGCATGCTAGCGGCACTGAACAACAACATCCTGGCTCATGAAGATGAAGCGGTCTTCAAGTTCTCCCAGCTGCCTGTCAACCAGTCCCCCTTCTTCCTCCTTGTATGGTTCCCCTCAGCATCCACTCTCCCCACCCTTTACTCACCAGGCGCATGTGCGCATGCTAGCGGCACTGAACAACAACATCCTAGCCCACGAGGATGAGGCAGTGTTCAAGTTCTCCCAGCTGCCTGTGGCGGGCGGCAGTCAAATCTACCTTGGGCTTCCCTGCACTGTCACGCACGCAGTCACACATGGGAGCCCGCTATATGGCCTGTCCCACTCGGTAGGTCCCCACAGATGAACGAGTAGGCAAGCTTGCAGGGTGGCAGGGTGCAGGGAATTGCGGTTCTCCCAGCTGCCTATGGCGGGCGGCAGTCAAATCTACCTGGATCCTCCCTGCACTGTCATGCTTGCCGTGACCCAGCCCTCTTCATGGTCTATTCGGTAAGAGTACATTCGGTAAGAGCACACTCAGTAAGATTACACTCGGTAAGAGCACACTCAGTAAGAGCACACTCAGTAAGAGTACACTCGGTAAGAGCACACTCAGTAAGAGTACACTCGGTAAGAGCACACTCAGTAAGAGCCCACTCGGACCTCGAGATCCTGGTGCTGCTGGAGAGATGCCGTCCCATTTCCATCTTTCCATCCTACCTCCCCATTCCTATGCACTCCTCGTTTCCCTCCCTCCCTCTTTTCAGATGATGGAGCGATCAGACGTCGACATTCTGGTAGTCACTGTTGTGAATTCCTTTTGAGAATTCTCAAGAGCGATCAGACGTCGACATTCTGGTAGTCACTGTTGTGAATTCCTTTTGAGAATTCTCAAGAGCGATCAGACGTCGACATTCTGGTAGTCACTGTTGTGAATTCCTTTTGAGAATTCTCAAGAGCGATCAGACGTCGACATTCTGGTAGTCACTGTTGTGAATTCCTTTTGAGAATTCTCAAGAGCGATCAGACGTCGACATTCTGGTAGTCACTGTTGTGAATTCCTTTTGAGAATTCTCAAGAGCGATCAGACGTCGACATTCTGGTAGTCACTGTTGTGAATTCCTTTTGAGAATTCTCAAGAGCGATCAGACGTCGACATTCTGGTAGTCACTGTTGTGAATTCCTTTTGAGAATTCTCAAGAGCGATCAGACGTCGACATTCTGGTAGTCACTGTTGTGAATTCCTTTTGAGAATTCTCAAGAGCGATCAGACGTCGACATTCTGGTAGTCACTGTTGTGAATTCCTTTTGAGAATTCTCAAGAGCGATCAGACGTCGACATTCTGGTAGTCACTGTTGTGAATTCCTTTTGAGAATTCTCAAGAGCGATCAGACGTCGACATTCTGGTAGTCACTGTTGTGAATTCCTTTTGAGAATTCTCAAGAGCGATCAGACGTCGACATTCTGGTAGTCACTGTTGTGAATTCCTTTTGAGAATTCTCAAGAGCGATCAGACGTCGACATTCTGGTAGTCACTGTTGTGAATTCCTTTTGAGAATTCTCAAGAGCGATCAGACGTCGACATTCTGGTAGTCACTGTTGTGAATTCCTTTTGAGAATTCTCAAGAGCGATCAGACGTCGACATTCTGGTAGTCACTGTTGTGAATTCCTTTTGAGAATTCTCAAGAGCGATCAGACGTCGACATTCTGGTAGTCACTGTTGTGAATTCCTTTTGAGAATTCTCAAGAGCGATCAGACGTCGACATTCTGGTAGTCACTGTTGTGAATTCCTTTTGAGAATTCTCAAGAGCGATCAGACGTCGACATTCTGGTAGTCACTGTTGTGAATTCCTTTTGAGAATTCTCAAGAGCGATCAGACGTCGACATTCTGGTAGTCACTGTTGTGAATTCCTTTTGAGAATTCTCAAGAGCGATCAGACGTCGACATTCTGGTAGTCACTGTTGTGAATTCCTTTTGAGAATTCTCAAGAGCGATCAGACGTCGACATTCTGGTAGTCACTGTTGTGAATTCCTTTTGAGAATTCTCAAGAGCGATCAGACGTCGACATTCTGGTAGTCACTGTTGTGAATTCCTTTTGAGAATTCTCAAGAGCGATCAGACGTCGACATTCTGGTAGTCACTGTTGTGAATTCCTTTTGAGAATTCTCAAGAGCGATCAGACGTCGACATTCTGGTAGTCACTGTTGTGAATTCCTTTTGAGAATTCTCAAGAGCGATCAGACGTCGACATTCTGGTAGTCACTGTTGTGAATTCCTTTTGAGAATTCTCAAGAGCGATCAGACGTCGACATTCTGGTAGTCACTGTTGTGAATTCCTTTTGAGAATTCTCAAGAGCGATCAGACGTCGACATTCTGGTAGTCACTGTTGTGAATTCCTTTTGAGAATTCTCAAGAGCGATCAGACGTCGACATTCTGGTAGTCACTGTTGTGAATTCCTTTTGAGAATTCTCAAGAGCGATCAGACGTCGACATTCTGGTAGTCACTGTTGTGAATTCCTTTTGAGAATTCTCAAGAGCGATCAGACGTCGACATTCTGGTAGTCACTGTTGTGAATTCCTTTTGAGAATTCTCAAGAGCGATCAGACGTCGACATTCTGGTAGTCACTGTTGTGAATTCCTTTTGAGAATTCTCAAGAGCGATCAGACGTCGACATTCTGGTAGTCACTGTTGTGAATTCCTTTTGAGAATTCTCAAGAGCGATCAGACGTCGACATTCTGGTAGTCACTGTTGTGAATTCCTTTTGAGAATTCTCAAGAGCGATCAGACGTCGACATTCTGGTAGTCACTGTTGTGAATTCCTTTTGAGAATTCTCAAGAGCGATCAGACGTCGACATTCTGGTAGTCACTGTTGTGAATTCCTTTTGAGAATTCTCAAGAGCGATCAGACGTCGACATTCTGGTAGTCACTGTTGTGAATTCCTTTTGAGAATTCTCAAGAGCGATCAGACGTCGACATTCTGGTAGTCACTGTTGTGAATTCCTTTTGAGAATTCTCAAGAGCGATCAGACGTCGACATTCTGGTAGTCACTGTTGTGAATTCCTTTTGAGAATTCTCAAGAGCGATCAGACGTCGACATTCTGGTAGTCACTGTTGTGAATTCCTTTTGAGAATTCTCAAGAGCGATCAGACGTCGACATTCTGGTAGTCACTGTTGTGAATTCCTTTTGAGAATTCTCAAGAGCGATCAGACGTCGACATTCTGGTAGTCACTGTTGTGAATTCCTTTTGAGAATTCTCAAGAGCGATCAGACGTCGACATTCTGGTAGTCACTGTTGTGAATTCCTTTTGAGAATTCTCAAGAGCGATCAGACGTCGACATTCTGGTAGTCACTGTTGTGAATTCCTTTTGAGAATTCTCAAGAGCGATCAGACGTCGACATTCTGGTAGTCACTGTTGTGAATTCCTTTTGAGAATTCTCAAGAGCGATCAGACGTCGACATTCTGGTAGTCACTGTTGTGAATTCCTTTTGAGAATTCTCAAGAGCGATCAGACGTCGACATTCTGGTAGTCACTGTTGTGAATTCCTTTTGAGAATTCTCAAGAGCGATCAGACGTCGACATTCTGGTAGTCACTGTTGTGAATTCCTTTTGAGAATTCTCAAGAGCGATCAGACGTCGACATTCTGGTAGTCACTGTTGTGAATTCCTTTTGAGAATTCTCAACAGACGTCGGCATTCTGGTAGTCACTGTTGTGAATTCCTTTTGAGAATTCTCAAGAGCGATCAGACGTCGACATTCTGGTAGTCACTGTTGTGAATTCCTTTTGAGAATTCTCAAGAGCGATCAGACGTCGACATTCTGGTAGTCACTGTTGTGAATTCCTTTTGAGAATTCTCAAGAGCGATCAGACGTCGACATTCTGGTAGTCACTGTTGTGAATTCCTTTTGAGAATTCTCAAGAGCGATCAGACGTCGACATTCTGGTAGTCACTGTTGTGAATTCCTTTTGAGAATTCTCAAGAGCGATCAGACGTCGACATTCTGGTAGTCACTGTTGTGAATTCCTTTTGAGAATTCTCAAGAGCGATCAGACGTCGACATTCTGGTAGTCACTGTTGTGAATTCCTTTTGAGAATTCTCAAGAGCGATCAGACGTCGACATTCTGGTAGTCACTGTTGTGAATTCCTTTTGAGAATTCTCAAGAGCGATCAGACGTCGACATTCTGGTAGTCACTGTTGTGAATTCCTTTTGAGAATTCTCAAGAGCGATCAGACGTCGACATTCTGGTAGTCACTGTTGTGAATTCCTTTTGAGAATTCTCAAGAGCGATCAGACGTCGACATTCTGGTAGTCACTGTTGTGAATTCCTTTTGAGAATTCTCAAGAGCGATCAGACGTCGACATTCTGGTAGTCACTGTTGTGAATTCCTTTTGAGAATTCTCAAGAGCGATCAGACGTCGACATTCTGGTAGTCACTGTTGTGAATTCCTTTTGAGAATTCTCAAGAGCGATCAGACGTCGACATTCTGGTAGTCACTGTTGTGAATTCCTTTTGAGAATTCTCAAGAGCGATCAGACGTCGACATTCTGGTAGTCACTGTTGTGAATTCCTTTTGAGAATTCTCAAGAGCGATCAGACGTCGACATTCTGGTAGTCACTGTTGTGAATTCCTTTTGAGAATTCTCAAGAGCGATCAGACGTCGACATTCTGGTAGTCACTGTTGTGAATTCCTTTTGAGAATTCTCAAGAGCGATCAGACGTCGACATTCTGGTAGTCACTGTTGTGAATTCCTTTTGAGAATTCTCAAGAGCGATCAGACGTCGACATTCTGGTAGTCACTGTTGTGAATTCCTTTTGAGAATTCTCAAGAGCGATCAGACGTCGACATTCTGGTGCTCTTGGAGGGGTGTATGATGTGACATACGTCCTTTTGAGACGTCTCAAAAGACATACATCCCCATTCCCATCTTCTGTGATTTTCCCCTCTTTCCTCCTCCTCCCCCTATTTTACAGATGATGGAGCGGTCAGACCTCGAGATCCTGGTGCTGCTGGAGGCGGTGGAATGTTCCACCTCATTCCCCTCGTGGTGTACTAGTCCCCCCCTGCACATCCTGTGCTCCTCCCCCTCCCTCCCCCCTCTTCCTCCCGTCTCCCCCCGCTTCCCCCTTTTCCTCCCTCTCCTCCCCCTTGCTCTTCTCAGATGATGGAGCGGTCAGACCTCGAGATCTTAGTGCTGCTGGGAGCAGTCGACTGCTCTACCTCATTCCCGTGTTGGTATACTTATCTCTCTCCCCATTTGCATGCTTCACTCTCTTTCTCCCCACCCCCATTACTCAGATGATGGAAAGATCAGACCTCGAGATCTTAGTGCTGCTGGAGGCGGTTGACTGCTCCACCTCGGCCACCCTGCAAGGTGACTGTAACAAGAGCTACAAGGTGCCAGTTAAGGATTCTCCGAGGCGGTTGTTGTAACGATACAAGGTGACAGCTGCAAGGTGATCGGATCTCGAAATCCTGGTGCTGCTGGAGGCAGTCGACTGCTCCACCTCGGCCACCCTGCAAGGTGTCTGTAGCGAGGGATGTAGGGCACAAGGTGACTGTACCGCTGCAAGGTGACTGTAGCGAGGTGACCTTTGGATTCTGGTGCTGCTGGAGGCGGTCGACTGCTCCACCTCGGCCACCCTGCAAGGTGACTGCAATGAGGTGCCTGTAGCGAGGGCTGCAAGGAGTAAAATCACATGGCATCGTATTGCCTGTGTGACACCATCTGGAGGCAGTGGACTGCTCCACCTCGGGGCGACGTCCTCCAAGGTGACTGTGTAATGAGGTGCCTGCAGGGTGATTGTGTAGCGAGGGTTGCAAGGAGTAACATCACATTGCATTGTATTGCCTGTGTAGCATCATCTGGAGGCAGTGGACTGCTCCACCTCATTCCTCTGTTGGTATTCTTATCTCGCTCCCCATATGCAAAGACTGCTCCACCTCGGCCACCCTGCAAGGGGTCTATTGCGATAGCGAGGTCTGTAGCGCGGGCTACAAGGTGACACTTAGGAATGCTCTAAGGTGACTCTGGCGAGGTGACTGTAGCGAGGTGACTGTAGCGAGGTGACTGCAAGCCCAACTTCCTTTCCTGCTCCCTCTTTCTCACCCCATTCCCCTTGGACTTGTCTGCCTGCCAGTGCGCCACTCCTACCGCCCATGTGACATCAAACACAATTACCGCTTCGTGTGAGTGCCTTGCCTTCCTATCAATTCTTTCCCTCACTCTGGACTGGCTCCCATGCTAGTATGCCTGCTGCACTGCCCACCTGCCAGTGTGCCAATCCTACCGCCCGTGTGACATCAAACACAACTACCGCTTCGTGAGTGCCTTGCCTACCTATCCTTTCTTTCTCTCGAACCCCTTAGCCCCAAACCCCCCAACGCCCCCTCCCTCCCCTTCCCCCCGACCTCTTCCTTCTCACAATCACTTAAATTCCAGCCATCTGAATATCCACCATCTATGGATTTTCTCTCGTTCTCCACTCCACCTGTCACTCCCTGACGCGTAATCAGGAAAATGGTTTGCCTTTGAGGCGCCTTAATTTTTCACCACCTGCATATTCTCCTTGCTTTCTCCCCACTTTCTCATCCTCTCACCACCTGCCACGTGTTCAGGACAATGGTCTATCAAGCTGCAAACGGTCGGCGTTGTGAGGAGAGTATGTCCCTTCCCCTCCTCTCTCCTCCATCTCTCCCACCACCCACCCGCGGTCTCCCTCTTCCCTCCCCATCCATCACAGGAAGATGGTCTATCGAGCTGCTAACCGCCGGCGCTGCGTGGTATGACATGGCCCTCCCCTGACCCTGTCTTCCCCTCCACCCTTTTCCACCCTTCCCATGCCTCTCCACCTTCCCCAATCCCTTCCAACCTCACAGGAAGATGGTCTATCGAGCTGCAAACGGCCGGCGCTGTGTGGTACGTCCCCTCCCCAGCCTCTCTCCACCATCTCTCCCTCCACGCACCCGCGTTCTCCCCCCCTTCCCTCCCCACCCCCACAGCAAGATGGTCTATCGAGCTGCTAACGGCCGGCGCTGTGTGGTAGGTCCCTTCCCCTTCTCTCTGCACCATCTCCCGCTCCTCTATGTCCCCTCCTCTACCTCTCCTCACTATCCGTCCCTCCTCCTCTTTCCATCATCCCTTCACATCCCTCCACCATCCGTCCCTCTCGTAAAGGCGATCTGTTCTAATGCACATGCACTCAACTTTGACTCGACTCAAAATGAGCCGTGTTTTGAGTCGACTCAAGACAAGGCCCTGTATTCTTATGCACTCAACTTAGGCTCCTCAGAAGTGGCACTTCCACGGCTTATGCGGCTTTGGCATGGCGTGGTTTGGCATGGCCTTGTCTTTTATGGCATGGCATGCTGTGTGGAATCGCATCTCATTGGATGGCTTTGTTTGGCACCGTCTGGCATTGGATCGCATTGGACGGCATGAGATGGCATGGCATGGCATGGCATGGCATGGCATGGCACGGCACGGCATGACACACATGTCTGCAGGACTTTTCTCTCTTCAATGCAATCGTGTCAGATCAGACCCCTCAGCTCAGACCCCTCGGCTCAACCCCTCTGCCCCCCTTCCCCACTCACCCGCCCCTTTTTTTTTCTCTCCCTTCACATGCACATAACATACATGCATGACTTCTCTCTCTTCGATGCAATCGTATCAGCATCAGACCTCGGTCCAACCCTTTCGCCCCCCCTCCTCTCCCACTCTCCCCTCCTTTCCCTCCCTGCACATAACATGCGTGCAGGACTTTTCTCTCGTCGATGCAGTCGTGTCAGCCTCAGACCCCTCAGCCCAACCCCTCCGTCCCTCCTTCCTCACCTCCCCCCCCCCCCCCCCCCTTTCTCTCCCTCCTCAATGCAGGACTTTTCTCTCTTTGATGCCATCGTATCAGCCTCAGACCCCTCGGCCCAGCCCCTTCATCCACGCTCACCTCCCCCCCCCCCCCCCCCCCCCCCCCCCCCCCCCTTCCTTTCACTCCCTTCATATTCATCCCTGCAGGACTTTTCTCTTTTCGATGCTATTGTATCAGCCTCAGACCCATCGGCTCAACCCCTCCGTCCGCCCTCCCTCACCCGCCCCTCCTCCTTCCTCTCCCTCCTCAACCTCGCAGCTGCTCCAATCGCCACTCCCTCCTCTGCTGCTGCTCCCTCTTCCTCCTCTCTGCAGGACTTCTCTCTCTTCGATGCAATCGTGTCAGCCTCAGACCCCTCGGCTCAACCCCTCCGTCCCTCCTTCCTCACACCCCCCCCCCTTACCCCCCCCCCCAATCCTCCTTTCTTTCCCTGCACATAACATGCGTGCAGGATTTTTCTCTCTTTGATGCCATCGTATCAGCATCAGACCCCTTGGCTCAACCCCCCTGACTGCCATCCTTCACCCCTCCCCCTTTCCTCCCCCTCCTCTCTGCAGGATTTCTCTCTCTTTGATGCAATCGTGTCAGCATCAGACCCATCGTCTCAACCTCTTCGTCCGCCCTCACTCACCCGTCCCTCCTCCTTCCTCTCCCTCCTCAATCTTGCCGCAGCTCCCTCCTCCTCCGCTGCTGCTCCCTCCTCCTCCTCCTCCCCTGCCACTGCTCCTGCTCCTACTCCTGTGCACGCTCTCACCCCGGTTCCTGCTCTTACCCCCACTCTTGCTCCCATACTGCCTGCGTCTCCAGCAACAGTTCCTACTAGCAGCACTGCAGCCACCCCCACTGTTCCCCGCATTTCTGCTTCCCCCATTGCTCCTTCCCCCATTGCTCCTCGCCCCATTGCTCCTCCGCCCGTTGCTCCTCCCCCCATTGCTCCTCCTCCTATTGGTGCTCCCCCCATCGTTCCCCCAAGCCAACATGCCACTGCCTTCTCCCCCGCCCCTTCAATCTTCCTCCCCATCTCTCAACCCCAGCCTCCCAATTCCTCCCCATCCATTCCTCCGTTGCCTCTCACCCCCCCACTCCCCTCCCCACTCCTCTCCACACCTCTTCACCGCGTCCCACCCACCACACCATCCACACCCCTAGCGAGTGATAGTGCGGACGCGGAAAGCAGACATTCACAGGCAATAAGCACACACCTTCGGCCAAAGGTTCATATACAACACCAACAGCCAATGCAGCAGCAGCAGGCACAGCAGCAGGTACAGCAGAAGCGGCACCAGCACTACCAGCTGCCACTCAGCTCCTCCCCCTCTGACTTCCCTGCTGCCACCTCCCTTAGCACGTGGATTCACGGCTCTCCTGCTAATTCCGTTTCTGACATGCATGCTGCTGCTGTTTCTGCTAACAGCAGTGCTGCTGTTTCTGCTGTCCCTGCTTCCACCTCCCTTAGTAGGTGGATTCACGGCTCTCCTAAAAACTCAGTTTCTGACACGAATGCTGCTGCTGGTTCTGCTAATAGCAGTGCTCCTGCTGCGGCTGTCCCTGCAACCGCTGGCGGCTCTGATGATGCAGCTGCAGTTGCCCCTACACTTGCAGGAAACGTTTCTTTGACCGCTGATGGTGGGACAACGGAGGGAAGGATTCGGAGAGTGGGAGATGAAGCATTAGCAGCAGAAGCAGCAACAGCAGCAGCTGGGAAAGAGGCTAAGGAGACGAGTGAAGGGTCAGAGGAAGGATTGGAGGGAGATGGAGGGGAAGAGGGAGAGGAGGGGGCTAGAGGGGAGGAAGAGGAAGGTGATGAGGAGGAGGAGTTGAAGATGATGGAGAATGACTATGAGCAGCAGGTATGTAGAGTGTTATATGCATGTATGCATGCATGCATAGTGCTGCTGTGTTGCCTGTGCGTATGTGTGCATGGTGGTGTGATGAGGAGGAGGAGTTGAGGATGATGGAGAATGATTATGAGCAGCAGGTATGTGCAGCTAGCCATCAGTTTGTGTGTGAGCATACATGTGTGTAAACAGAAAATTGATGAGGGTGATGAGGAGGAGGAGTTGAGGATGATGGAGAATGACTGTGAGCAGCAGGTATGTGCAGCTAGCTATATGCGTGAGTGTGTTTTCATGCAAAAAGCTGATGTTGCCCATTTGCATGTGCGCGATACTACACAGCCATGTGTGCATGTGTGCGATACTACACAGCCATGTGTGCATGTGTGCGATACTACACAGCCATGTGTGCATGTGCGCGATACTACACAGCCTTGTGTGCATGGTGATGGCGAGTGAATATGAGCAGCGGCAGGTAGGCGTGCATGCATGCACTATCACTCCATGTGCACACCACATAGTAAGGTGAGCACCACATAGTAAGCCGAGTGCTAGATCGGCTTCCTCCTGCCTCTCCCAGTTGACTTTTGAGTCGACTCAAAAGTCAACTAGATCGGCTTCCTCCTGCCTCTCCCAGTTGACTTTTGAGTCGACTCAAAAGTCAACTAGAT